AAATGTGGGTTGAGAGTTTACACACCATGGAGATGGGTGCAGCGTAAGAACTTGAATAGAGTAGAAAGTGATGAATTTCAAACAGGTGAAAAAGAAAACCAGAAAAAGGTGTTTATTTTTCATTTATATATTTGCTCATACAATCAAATATTATTCTGCTGGTTTCACACCCCTTACGTGTCTGTTTCCTTATTCTTTTTTGTATTAATGTAGCACCTTGGGGCCCCAATCAAGAACCAGGACCCCATTGTACTAAGTGCTCTACAAATGTGTAATAAAGACAGCCCCTTCTCCTAGCTTGTGTCCATGTTTACAGGCAGGAACATTTGTGGAAGCAGCCAAGTTTCACCAAGTAGCAACAGGAAGCACATTTTGTACTTGTAAATATATCTGCATCAGAGTCTCAATAGTAAGAGTTACACTCAGTCAATCAGGGAACAGAAACATGCCAGATGACTTGCGTGCAAACAGAATGAACCAGTTCAAATATGGGATAACAATTACTGGCAGTGAGCTGCCTGTGCATGATCTACAGACCAAGAATTATTCAGACGTTATCTGGTGAATGATTTCTAACCACCAATCGCTATGAGAACATTGCAAGTTGCTTGCAGACAAATCACAAGCAGGAAGACAGCTCAAATGTACTGACTACATTATTTGCTCAGAAAATAAATCAGAGATTTTCCTGTTGCATTTTTAAAATAAAATGGAATTCCTGAAAAGTTACATTGGCAACATATGCAAAGCAACATTCACCCCTGAAACACACCACACAGAGTTCAATGTCTGAAGCAGCAAAGTGAAAGGAGCTGAACATCCACTCAGCTTGTGCAACAGCTTATACACAGTACGTGGTGCTTGGAAAGAGTACATGCACAAAGCATCACCCAGCTGGATGGTGCTCAATATCTGGACCTGTCCCTACCCACTTCCTATCCAACTATCCTCCCCCAAAGCTGGCCCAGGAGTGCTCCCACGTAGTGTCAATGGCCTGTCAACTGGGCCACGTTTGTTGTGATTGTGACATAAATGGTCTTGCCCACACACCTTCTCGAGACAACAAACAACTGAGTTCCCAATGTTTTTGTTAGCTTGACATTAAACTAGAGGGCACGGCTGGGAATGGTGACAGTGTAGGATGGGATTAAGGCCAGACAAAGAACACACAGATCTTCAGCCGTATCTCTCTGCATCAGATACCAGAAGTGGCTGGCTCAAAATACAGCAGCTTCATCTGAGCCAGCAGCAGGTGCTCCCATTATTTAATGTAGGATCAACAGAATCAGACCTGAGCAATACACAGACTTACACAGCAGCAAGAGTGAAGCTCAGCATACCTCACCATCTCTTGCCATGCCACTGCTGACCAGCATATGACATTATAGAAATGATGATGAGACAACAGAAAGCCAAGAAACAGCAACAGCTAAAAGAGAAGCAACAGCAGCCTGGGATATATGCTGCTGCTGCTGCGCTTTCTGAGTATGACAGATACTTACTCTGCCACAGGGTAGGTTCCCCTCTAAACCCTACTCATCAGCACCCTCCCACTACTCCTCCCTATCACCCTCACTCATCAGATCCTTTGCTATTTCCTCTTATATTTCCAGATGAAATGATACATAGGACAACTCCTCTGTCCTCCCAAACTCAGCAGCAGCACAGACCACCTGCCCGCCAGCCTCTGGCCTCTCACAAGTGCCTGCCTGATTGCTTCCTCCTTCCAGTTAGGCTTGGCAAATTAGATGTAAATTAGTGGGTGGCAAGACATGCCACGTCTCTCTGCAAAGGAATTCGCTGACATAAGAAACGCTCCCAGGAACCTCAACAAAGGGGAAATTTAAAGCCTTTTGAATCTCTAGGATTGTGCCAACAAAGGGTTTGGCACACATGTGCAGAACAGGGGTGACCCTGAGGAGATTTCAGCTGGGATCCATCGGGTGGAATGAAGGAATGTGGCTGCATTTTGTTGGTTAAAAAGGCACTGTGGCTAGGATATCTATGCCCTTGTCTGCATGGAAAAGATTTTTTGTTATAACCTAAGGTGGGCAAACTATGGCCCGTGGACCACATCCAGCCCACGGGACCGTCCTGCCAGGCCCTTGAGCTCCTGACCAGGGAGGCTAGCCCCTGGCCCCTCCCCTGCTGTCGCCCCTTCCCCGCAGCCATGCCACTGTGCGGGGAGTGTGGCTGGCTCTGGCCGGGCAGCGCGGCTGCCTGTCCTGCCACTCTGAGCGGCATGGTAAGGGGGTGGGGAGCGAGGGCACTGGATAAGGGGCAGGGGTTCCCGGGGGGGCAGTCAGGGGGTGGTTGGATGGGGCAGAGGTTCTGGGGTGGGGCGGTTAGGGGACGGGGAGATTGGATAGGTGTGGGAGTCCCGGGGGGGAGGGGAGGGGGCCTGTCAGGGGGCGGGGGTGTGCATAGGGGTCGAGGCAGTCAGAGGACAGGGAGCAGGGGGGGGTTGGATAGGGGGTGGGGTCCCGGGGGGGGGGGGCGGTTAGGGGTGGGAGGTTCCGCGGGGGGAGGGGGAGTGGTCGGGGGCAAGGAGCAGGGGAGGTGGCGGGGACCAGGCTGTCTGGGGAGGCACAGCCTTCCCTACCCGGCCCTCCATACAGTTTTGCAACCCTGATGTGGCCTTCGGGCCAAAAAATTTGCCCATCCCGACCTAAGGTGTGAACCACTGTAGTTATACCAGGATCAACTCCTATGTGGGCAGTCTTATTCCAGTTTACAGAGACCTCCTTTAGGTTTAATTTATGTCACTTGTGAAGGGATTCAAGCTATACAAAAAAAAAGCCACTCTTATACTGGAATAGGAGTGTCCACACAGTGGGTTATAGTGGTCTAACTGATAAGACTTTCCCTTGTAGACATGGCTTCAGTTAGCTTTTCACACTGGGTTCCTGCCTGCGCTGAACACCTTTAAATGCAGCATGTTCCAGCACACTGCATTGTAATTTGGGCCAGTGGAGATGTATTTACCAAACAATGCAAGCACATGGGCAAAACCAGCAATACTCTCTTGCATTGGCAATCATGGCCTGCTCTGTATGCAATAGGCCTTTAAGAACTGGCGGGGCTGGTGCTGCATGGAAAGAATTGGAGCACAGCACCTAAGGAAGCCTCATCAGCAGATGTTTTGACTTTCAGAACATACAAGCTCCCTCTGGCATTTGTGCCAACATTGCAGCGCTGAATTAGAAGAGGGTCAGAGGCTGGAAATGCTCTCTGAAGTTGAGAAGAACAGGACTACCTATGCAACACAGCTGCTAGAAACTGTCCTTTTTGGCGGTTGATTTTGGATGTAGCTGTTGAGGGGCAGCTTTCTAACTAAGAAAACAATAATTCAGGGCCCCTGCTCCAAACTGAATAACCATAACCAGCAAGATAAAAGCAAGGCATCAGACACAACTCGGGCAGTCTCCACTCTTGGATGCGAGCACTACATTTAGAGAAAGCAATCTTGGTGCAATTTTGCCTAGTAGGTAGAACTCTGCATGGATAAAAACTTTGTATCTGCATCCAATCCACAATCTGCAAATATGGTTCATGGATGCAGATAGGCACAGATTTCCAGGGCTCTATTAGTAGGAAACTAATGAGGTTGCGCTGATGTCACAGTCCTGAATGGGACTCCAGCGCTGAACATTCATACGGTCACTGTACAAGCGAGGGTAATGGGATTCTTCACCGAGGGCCTGCTCGTCCTCCCATTAAAATCAATGGGAGCTTTGCCATTGACTTCAGGAAGAGCTGGATCGGGCCCCAATTCTCTTGCCTAACCAAATAATAGAAATTTTTTTTCCCAAATATTTTATTTTTGGTTAATGAAAGAAGCAGGATGAAAAACCCTGGGACTGGAGGTCTTCTCTTTATCTACAGATCAAGTACAGTATATCTAGGTGCTTTCCACACAGTCTCTCTCCCCCCCTCAACATGACTCACCCCTGAGGTAGCAGATCAGTCCTATATGGGTGAGGTATTTCAGTCTCCATGACTCACTGCCTTTGGCACCTCTAAGACTGCCAGCAAGGGGGCTAATTGTATCGGTCATTTTTGTGACGTGGGCACCTGCCTAGGAGGAACTGAGCAGTGACGCACCAATTTAGTTCATAATGGCCACCAAGCTGTAGTCAAATGGTAAAAGTACTTAGTTACTAACCAGCAGGGAGCAGATCTGAGCCAGAGAGCTAGAGGTGAAAAGCTCCATGGCCAATCCTCTTAGCCATCCAGTTTCCTTACTTTCTCATCAGTCCGGGCAGATGAGGAAAACATGGTGACTCAAGGGGTCGCTGATGAGATATGGACCCCACCATGTCTAGGACACTGGTTCAAATCCAGCCCATGCCAGAAATGACCGGTTTGGTGGCCTAGGGAATGAGTCAGTGATCTGAGTCCTGCTTCTTCAGTGCCTGTCCTGCAGAAGCTACCCAAAGGGACCAGCTTCCATCCCCTACTAACTCAGGCTCAATCTGAACCAGCAAAGACACAAATACCCACTACCAATATCCTGAGATTTCAAGAAGAGTGATTGCTACCTCCAACCACAGGCTGATTTTGTTAACATAAACTCTGAATAGCTGCAGGCTTCTTATTCTGGTATCAAAGTACCAAGCCATTAGGCTCCATTAACAATGTCCTTAGGGTATGGAGAAAGCCATTACATAGCAGAAAAAAAGGAAAACGCTCCAACTACTTCCACTTGGGGTTTCCTTGTGACTGGCCTAGGTGAAATAGAATCGCTAACAAAACCTGCCTTAGTGTGGGACTGGGAGAAACACAACCTCTCCCCCAACAGCATGGGCCAGGAAGCAAAGTTCACCTACAATAGTCTCATATCTCCTTTTTTGCCTCCTCCCGCACCCGACCCCGAAGGAAGAGTGAGATGGTCAGTCTGGGCAGCTCATCACCTATAGACTCTCATAAAGTACAGGGCACATCTGTAGCAACGCAGTGCATGGAAGAGCAGCTTAAACACCTCCTTTCCAAGGTCTTACCTCTGTCTCAGGCCGAGGAATGAAGACTGGGGGTCTCATCTTGAGGGTCAGTTCCCAGAAATCCCACTCACCAAGGATGTACTGCACAGGCATCCTGCAACAGGAGGGGGTGGGTTACACATCACATTAGGACTAGACTCCCCTGTTACAGACAAGCCCTCAATCACCTTCTTATCAACCTCCAAGCCATGGGCACTGTCATTGCCAGCAACTTCACTTCAGGGGATGGAGGGCAATGCCTAGCACTGTTAAAGATCCTTGGATGTGGAACTGAAGGGGTCTAACAAGATGACCCATGAACACATGGGCAGTGAGGGGATAATACATGAAGCCCAGCATCCACTACTGACACATGATGCCTCTTCTAGAATCCCCAACAGACTCCTCTGTCGTGCATCGCATTGCTAACCCTCACTGCAGGACACAAGCATGTTCCACAACCACCAGTCACATGGATAATTGGGAGGATGTATGTCTGCAGTATCCAAAGGGTTAGGTTTTTTTCCATATCTCCTCTAGGCTCACTCCAGATGCCTTCTGGAGGTCTCAGTTTTCTCAATGATCCAAGTCCCTAAGCATTTCCTCTCCTCACAGACTGCCACACCATCTCCAATTCCAGGTGACTTGCAGACATTGGCCAAATTCACCCCTGTACTGAGAGATCCTGGGGGGAAGGGAGGGGAATACTGGGTTTTGCCAACTCTACAACAGCCAGAGAGACCCCAGCATCAGGAAAATTCCCCCGAGGCTGGATCTGCCATCTCTGGGGTGGAACGTGACAGCTATTTAACACTGCACAGCAACACTGCACAACAGTTGAGGTCAGGGAGCCAAGAAGAGGACTGTAGCCAGTGGAAACTGACAGGGGAGTGGAAGCATGAGGCACTACTGATAGTTTCTCTAATGGACTCAGAGCTAACATCCAGCTGGGCCTGGCCTCTTTTGTAAAGTTCCACCCGATGCAGCCTCCTTGCTCCAATGGCAGACTCCTATTACCGCCACTCCCTGGTCATTCAGCGACAACACAGCACTAGCGTCTGCTCTAGCCCATTGAATGTGAACACAACCCTCCTCGCTCTGTTTGTTTCCTCCATGCTACTTCCTTCCCACTGGAAGGAAAAGATGGTGGGATGGTTTTAAAAGGGGACGCTCCTACCTTTGTAGCCGCTTCGTACTCAGCTTCTGGATCTGCTGCTGCTGCTCCAATGTGAGCGGGGTGGAGAGGCTGCCAGCACCCAAGCTGTGAAACTGAAGAGGAAATAGCTTTAATACCTGCCCAACTGTGCAGCTTGCTCACCTCCTTCTCCTGTCCCTGAACAGCACCTTTAAAGGGTATTGGAACATTCACCAATAAATAACACCCCAGACTTTCTGAGATCCCAAATCAATAGCAGAATCTACATAGAGACTTAGAAGTGACTTACTCAAACAGTTCCTCTGCATTTACCTGCTAAGTTCTGGGGTTCAGGAGAGTGGGCCAAATTCAAGGCCACATAGCCATAGGTCCGGGCACAATCTGGGTGCCTGTTTCCCATGCTATAACCAGTGCTAACTCTGGCAGACCCCTGTATAGAAATCATTAGAGGAGGGCAAAATGCTTTACAAACATTAATGAATTCAGCCTCACCCCAATCCCCGTATGAGACAGGGAAGTGTCAGTCTCCCAATTTCATAGCTACGGAAACAGAGGCCCAGAGAAATTCAACAATCTAGTCAAGATCACCAAGTCCGCTGATGAATCAGGAGTGCTGTGACTACACAACCATAATCCTTTCTGCACCACTTAACTGTCTTTGCTCCCAGGACGTAGGAAACGATATATTCGCTGGATTCCTGTGCTTCAGGGATCCCGTTTGCCTCAAACACACCTCGCCAGTAGCTGACCAGCTCAGTGGCTGTCATTTTAGCACTGAAATTCTGCTTCCGAAGCAGGCGGTGAGGGTTTAGGACACAGCATTTGGCAGGACTCCCTCCCTCTCCTTCATAGAGATTCAGGAGGCCCAACAGCATCCGGCGCAATGGGCTGGTGAGGAGCCTCATCTCGTCAGACGCCACTTCTAGTTTCCAAGATGCCACGTGTGTCCTTCCTTCCCAGGCCACCTTCACCAGACCTAGTCAATCTCAAGCCTCAGCAGGCCGGGGACATGGTCTCCTCACCACCTGACACTCCCACATCACAGCTGCTAAACGCCCACCAGACACTCGGCCACTGCGGGAGTCTTCTCATGCCCACAGGCGTTGTGAAAGGCATCCTGTGGGCATCTCCTCACATCAAGGCACCAGCTCAGGGCATCATTCCTCTGCTGAGAGAGAGAGAGAGCACATGTAGCTTATGGGCTAGTGAGTCAAAGGGAATCCATCCACCAGAGAGCAGGGTGCTTTCCTCACTCCCAGCCAGAAAGGCACTCACTGTCCACAGGAAAACACAAACAATCATTCATGCTATCACAAAACGCATCTATGTTTAAAGGGTTGAGATTAAACAGCAGGGAACTAGTAGAGGCAGGACACTGGGAATGGGGAACGGGGCTTTTCGCCTGTCACCAGCTCCGTTTCGCCTTGGACAGTAGCAACTGAGAGTTACAGTGCAAAGGGTGACTCCTATGTGAAATGAGTCCATAGTCTCAGCCCCCTGCCTTGTCCACACACCAAACCACTGCCATAACTGGCTCGATGTGCTCCCCATCCTCTTGCTGGCATTACAGAAAAGGCAGCGAATAGATGCAGAATCCACACTCCCCTGTCACTCCTATAGGTGGTCCTTGCAGGGTTGAAGTACGTTGCTGGAGCAGCCTGTAGAGACCATGGCATGCTGTTGCTTGTGCTGTGGATAAACAGACTCCAGGCTTCGGCACCTCTCCTCAGTACCAAAACCTGCTTGCAAAGTGTAAAATAATTCCACAAACACAATGACTCATGAAATCTAACTGGGGGCGTATTAGTCTCTCACCTAGAGAGTGCTGCCTCTGGAGTCCATATCATAGCAACGCTGCTCAGCTTTGCAGGCCTGTCCCTCTAAGGATGGGCCAGTCACCACATTTGGTCTGGGAGAAGCCAGTACACAGCTATGGCTAAACAGCCACCATTTCTTGGCCTGGGACCTTTTGTCCCACAATGCACCTGAGGTGGCTGCATTGGATGGTGTGTCCTGCTGCCTTGGTTCTATTCTCCCCAATTCACCATCTCTGTATCCTGCCACCCTCGTTCTATTTCCAGTCTGTCCCAAATTCTCCATCTTAATGTGAGCTCATGACATTCACCCACTCTTGGAGTGAAAGAGTGAGAGCCTTGCAAATTCACTGCCAGTCACCCTCCAAAACACTCTCATCAGCTGCATTGGAGAGTGAGCGGGAGCTGGGCTCCAGTCTCCATGCAAAGAGGTTGGGCATGGGAAAGGAGAGAGGACAGACAGGTTGGGAAGAGGGATAGAAGGTAGATTGGCTCATGAAGGGTAGGAATGAGGGGGAGAGAAACACGCTAATGTGGAGAAAGCCCAGGTCAGGACAGGAAAATCTGCTAGAGGGAAGCCCTGGGCATCTTGGGGAGAGAAGAACAGCTGCATCCATGCATGGAACGAAGAGAAATAAACAGGAAGTCCAGGAGGGAAAAGAGAAAGGGAGCCAGAACTCTATAAAACAGCTGTTCAACACCGCACTTTGGAGCTGTGATTTAATGGAAAACACAAGCCAAAACTTTCCCCAGTTTTGCTCTGTGAGGGGATGCTCTCCCTTTTCAGTCCCTGCTCCCTGCAGTTGCTATGGCTTCTCCTTACCCCCACATTTTCTTTTTGGGAGGCTGATGGGGTGCTGCTTAACAACCCTGCGAGATGCCTGTCCCCAGTGCATAGAGAGCCATTGTGAAAAGCAAAATAACCTTTCCCAGCTGCAATATGGTCTGGAACAGAACGGCAAAGGTTTTCCTATGAGGAAGAACACGGGAGAGAGCCAATCAGGTGAGAATTAAAGGGACCGAGTCAACCCACCTCTGTCCAAAATATTGGGTTTTGTAACCTCCCCGTTCGCCGGAAGTTTTACTAATTTTACTAGGGGAAATGTTCGCGCCTTGGTTTGTTTTTAAACTAGACTAGTGGGAACAGTGGCTTTTAACGACACACACTGCCACATCCCCCCTCCCTGCAGCATTTGCATTCCCAGCGCGGCAACAGACCAGAGGGGAACTGACTAGAAGCAAAAAGAGCCAGACGGACTCCGCGGATTTTATCCTGCTGTGCTGAGGGAAACGCAAAAAAATAAAATAAAAACCAACCCCAGAAACAACCAGCCAGAGGGAGGAGGGGAGTTATTTGGGGTTTCCCTCCTGTTTCGGAGCCTAGGTGCTGGGACAGCAAATCCACCGGGTTATTTACAACATACCAGCGACCCAGACCTCCTGGCAGCCCCTGCTGCCTTTTCCCCTGTCCGGCCCCGAGCCCGCCGGCGGGTTTGAGTCAGGGACTCCCCGGGAAAAGCCGGAGCCTGCAGCGCGCGCAGCAGCAGCACGTTCTATCGACGAGCACGCGGAGCACTTCCTGGTGGGGCTGCAGGCAGCGCAATCCAGCGTGCAACCGCGGCCTCCGTGCACGGGTTCCCTCCGCTGCACTGTTCCCCCGCCAGCAGGACTCCAGGGAGAGCGGCTGCTTCGGGGAGAAGAGGGAGAGCTCAGGGCAGCAGCAGCCGCTCCAACAGCCCTGCCACGCAGCTGGGAGGAAACCGGGGAGGGGGCTGCTTCCCCACCCTTGCGCCCTGGAAAAAAGGTCCCAGTGCAGAGGTGGGTGACAAGGGAGCGTCCCCGAACAGTGCCACTTGCACTGTAGTGACTGCCACGTCCCGGCTGGGGTAATTTTCAGGATTTCAGACCAGATATTCCCCAGTTTCATTAAACCTCATTATGCAATCAACAGTGCCCTTCGTTGGAAGACTCAGGCAGTCACCTTTGAAGACTGGACCCAATGCCTCATGAATCCAGACATGGGATCTAATGCACCAGAATCTGTTCTACTTAGACTGGAAGACCTTTGGGGGCAGGGACTGATTTTTGGTTGTTACACCTGTGCACAATTCCAATCCTCAGCCCCCCATAAAACCTCTAGGGGCAGCCACAGTGTAAACAATAAACAATAATTCAGGGGACTGGTTTCAGCCACTAACACAAGGGTCTCGTCTCAGGAACCTGGAAAGTTTCTCTCTCTCACCAGCAGAAGTTAATCCAATAAAATATTTAAATTGTTTTATTAAAGCTAATGTTAAAATTATCAAATACACAGGTTAAGGAAAGAGTGACTATACATCTGGGTGTAATGCTTGAATTGTTCCAAAAGTACAAAGTTAGGTTTAAAAGTCATAAAATATATATAGTACACAATCTGCAACATCCCAAATTCAGGTTAATAAATTTAACAAAAAAGTTTAGATATTAGCATCCAGATATTCAGGTACATCACTCATAAAAGGTTATACTAAAGGTTAGCTTGTGGAAAGCAAATATAGTAATAAGTTTAGATTGTCCCTCAGTAATTGAGAATTTAGGATGAATTGTATTTACTGAGGGACTGTATGACTGGATTGTATTTACTGAGAAGTATTTCAGTTACTTTCCTGACTTCGCTTTTCAAAGACACTCCAGCTTCTCCCTCCTGGTATTGCCGATGTCCGGGGATGTTTTCTAAATAGACAGGTGAGCAGTGTGCATCTGATGCCGATGCTGCTTCCACTTAGAGCAGGTTGATTTTCTGCTGGTGAAATGTCATAAAGCTGATCTTGACTGACCCCAGTGTAAAGGAGCTTGATTTCCACTGCCTCTATCTTCCAAATTCCTTCCCACAGAAAGGTTTTAGAGTAGCAGCCGTGTTAGTCTGTATTAGCAAAAAAAAAAAAAGGAGTACTTGTGGCACCTTAGAGACTAACAAATTTATTTGAGCATAAGCTTTCGTGAGTGAGCTGTAGCTCATGAAAGCTTATGCTCAAATAAATTTGTTAGTCTCTAAGGTGCCACAAGTACTCCTTTTCTTTTTGCCACAGACAGAGGCTGAAACTACAAGATTGGATTGGAGGCGCCAGTTAAAGTTATACTTCAGTTAATATATATATAGAGAGAGAGAGAGAGCGCCCGCTTTGAGATCCTCAGATACAAGATGCAAGACGCAGGGGTGCTGGAACTAGGGATAGCACCCCCTCGCTTGATGGAGTAATAACAAAATATGTGGTTTCTGATTTCAACACCCCCACTATAAAAATTGTTCCAGCACCCTGGCAAGACAAGAGAGCAAAGTACCAAGTGTCATGACCATCACTGACAGGGACCTGAGGCAATTGCACTGGGTAAAAGGCACGGTGATTATGGGTGGGGACAAATGCCCTCTTGGTGGATTTCCCCTGGGAAGACTTGGGCAAGGCTGGAATTCCGTATAACCAAGCCCGATGGCAGCACTGCAAAGCGAAACACAATCCTAAAGGTTATACAGGAGCTAAAATCTCCCAGCCCCCGCGCCCCCGCCAATTCTGTGGGGGCAATGGCATGTGGCATCCTTCCAGGCTGAGAGTGCATGGTGCTACAAATCCCAGTTTCCCACTGTTTAACCTCAATCTCCCTGCAGCAGCAAAAGCTCATGAGTGACAAACAGGCTGGCCAACCCTGAGCCAGAACCCCGTCCTCTCCCTGCCAATCCCCGGCAAAAAGGAGATCAAAGCAGGAGATCAGAGAAAGGGGAGGAGGGGTGGGCAGCTCCTGGCATCTTGGAAAATACAATGGCAAGCAGCGCACTAACAGCAGCCGCGGGTCCTCTATCTCCGGTACAAGCAATCTGAGTTCCACTGCCCAAGGCGGCTCGTCAGCCCTGTCTCCACCAAACCAAGAATTATCCGTCTGCTCAGGTCGCTCTCTGCTGTCCATTGGAAGCAGCTTTCTGTATGAGAGGGCAATTTGTTCCTATCCCCTAGCGTGCACGCACTCACACACACATCACCCAACGTTTTGCACTTCTGCTCTTGTCCCAGTTGTGGTATGAGACGACGAGGTTAGACAGACAGACAGCAGCTCTCCGGGGACAAGGCCAGCGGCTACTGTTTCTGTGTGGGCTGTGGGTACTCCCCCTGCCTGCCGGCTCGGGAGGCTTGGCCTGGGCTACTCTTCCAGTCTGAGACGGACGGCTGGAACCAGAAGGGGACTCGATTCCTCATCTGGGAGGAATTAAGTAAGTGCTGATGTCACGGTTTTGTTCAGGCGGTTAGGGAGGAGGGAGCATGCACCAGCTTGTTACACTGAAAGTAAGTGGGAAGGGGATGAATCCAGAGCAGGCCACTGGGACTGAAAGCTGATGTGAGAAGCAGTAGCATCAGCCTGGCCCTAAACAATGAAAGCATATTGCTGTGTGAATATGCATCACCCAGCAAGGACATGCAGCTACTTCTGGGGTGGAATTTGTCGGCCATCCTGTAACAGCAGTACTGTAAAAAGATATTTTTAGAAGAGGGGGTGAAGAGTAACTTTAATTGGAAATGCAGGGGGTTCAGGCTATTTTATATAGGGAGAATAGAAGTGATGGAGCTGGAATTTGGCCAGGACATTGGGGTTAATACAGGCAGGCAATGAATTTCCCCCACCCATTCCCCTTATTCTAGTATGTCATATCCCACCCAAGACTGAATGAAACCAAGAGTGAAAGGAGAGCTCTGCAGATGTTTCATGCCTCAATTTCCTCCTCTGAAGGTCCCCTCAGCCTTCCCCACATAGGGTGGAGTTAGTGATGTGGCTTAGCCCTCCATCCAAGTCACTAGCCAAAACTTAACCTGGGTAACAAGAGTCTATACAAACAAAAAGTTCTTCTGCTCCTCTTGGACTCCTCTCCAGTCTGTCCTCTGGGCTCAGTTCCCAGTCCCTTCTGGGCTCTTTTTAAATCTCTCTGCAATGAAGCCCTGACTCCCTTGCTTCTTCTAGCCCCTACTTCAGGCCCTTCCATGGGCACCCAACCTTTTCCCTATGGTTCCTCCTCTAAACTGCATTCTCTGCCCTTAGAAGCCCTTGTATTCATAAGATTGTCATTTGACCCCAGTTAATCCTCTCTTCTTCAGCTGGGAGGTAGCTAATTATGACATAGGCAGGGCTGGTCCCATTGCCCTTGTGACATGCTCTCATACAGCAGGCAGACTTGTCTTCAGGGACAGGTTTGAAATTCAGCAGTCATGGATAATCCTGATAGAAATGCAATGTTGAGTAACAGTCTCTCCTCCAGGAGAGACATGTCCCAGCCTCTGCTCAAGAGAATCTCTCAAGGCCCCAAAATGGTTCAGGCTGGGAAGGCTTGGTTCATTGGAAAAGTCTGAAGGGACACTTCCCAGTGCTGGGGGAAGTGACTGTCCATGAAGCTAAATCCCTGAAACCCTCTCTGCTCAGACCCCAGCACCTTGCTGTGACAGGCAACTCTGCAGAATTCAGTTGTCTCCTCTAGTCCTTGAAATGGACTTGGGATGGCATCTGCCCAAACCCCACTCTGCAAAGGCTCACAAAAGTTGGATAATTGATTGGTCTGGGAGACGCTGTGGAGCCAGCCACCACCTTCTAAGTGAGATCCTGTTATACTGTACCTAAGGACAGATAGTGAGCAAATAGTAACCCCAGGGCAGTCCCTCTCCTGCCCCACACATAATGGGGAAAGATGTCAAGGTGAATTTTCTCAACAAGATGCAATGAACATTCCTGAGAGTAGTGGATGAAAGAGCAGACAACATGGCAGTCCTGGAATAGAGGAGTAGGAGGAGGGGTAGGATGGAAGTCTGCTCAATGGATGGCCTCTCTCTCTCTCTCTCTCTCTGCGGAAAGATGATAACCAGAGCGGCAAGGGGCCTGTGGGAGTCAGGCTGTGCCACAGAGGACTACATAGGAGGCTGAGGGGCCATCCACCTACAGGGTGGAAACCTGGAGGAAAGGAGGAAACCTCAAGGTCTCACTCTGAAAACCCACATCCCATGAGGCTGCAATGACCAAATACCACTTGTTAGAGATGGTGGTTGATATTGAATATACTTCTCTTGGGTGATAGGTCCAGCCATAGTAATAATGTACATCCTAATAATTCCTTGTCCTTTTTATCCAGACATCCAAAGCCTTTCGGTAAATATCAGTGCCCTGCCATACAGATGGGGAACTAAGCATAGAGATATTAAAACTAAAATTGTCAAACCTGCATAGGCGCTGACTCTGTGGGTGCTCTGGGGCTGAAGCACCCATTGAAAAAAATAGTGGGTGCTCAGCACCCAGGAGCCAAATCTTGAGTGTGGAATGTGATACAAAATTACTCAAGATTGCAGTCTGCTTTGGACTTAAGAGTTAGGAAGGGATCTCTCAAAACTGGGTGATTTGGCAACAAAATGGCAGATGAAATTCAATGTTAAATGCAAAGTAATGCACATGGCAAAATATAATCCCAACTACACACAAAATGATGGTGCCTAAATTAACTGTTACCCATCAAGAAAGAGAGCTTGGAGTCATTTGCAGTACTCTAGAAGCACTATGTTTCCAGAGTACTACAAATTTATAAGAATCTTTTTCACTGTGCCTGGATTACTCTGAACTCATTCTCCAGCTTGAGAAGATTTAAAAATCATCTCCAGTCATCAATGGGACAGTCAACTGAATAATGTAGCTGGCCTTAATGTGCATCAAGGCAATACCAGGGAACTAGATGTAAATAAGATTGCTGGCAGTTTCATCTTGAAAGCTACAGTGAGACATAATGTCTTTAAACTGGGAGGTTAGCAGTGGTGCAAGTAGAAATAATTTCTTGCTGGTACTACACTCATGGGAGAGACACAGGGAGGCATGTGACCTCCCCACGTGACCCTCCATGTGACTCCTCCCCGCCCTCAGTCCGGGACCCTGATGCTCTCCCCATCCCCTCTGACACTCCACTTTGTATATACAATCATCAACATGCTTAACTACTCACTTTCCCCCCAAATATGTAGTATTTCAGTCTGTTTGTATGGAATATGGGAGTTGGGTGAAGAGCTCTTTCAGCATATGTATGACTTATTAAAAGATAAATTTTAAGTAGAACTGTATACTAAACTGCTTTATGGTATTGTACCCAAATATGGCATTTCAATTGGGGATCAACTTCCTTTATAGGAGCAGACTCCTAAAACTCTTACCATTCCACAAAAGTGGTCAATAGTCATGCAAATAGTCCCATTGTGTTCAGTGGGATTGATCAAATGATTAAGGGTTACAGGATTAAATTCCAAGTTTGTAAATTGTTCTGGATGAAACTGACAATGCCTGAGCTGTCAGATCAGAAGGAATTTCATTCAAATAAAGGTGGGCAGATGTGTGATAAGTCTTAGCTCTGTTGCTAAGATGAGGAACATATTTTCAGCAAAATTCTTGGCAGATTCCTGAGGTAGCTGGTTTAAGGCGGTCAGTGTCTGCCATTATAATCTTCACTTATAGTTCTCTCACCCACAAAGCTGAAAAATGAGGCATTTGTTTTCATTGTTTTGCTGTTCCACTTCTAGTTAACAAAATGCATGTTAGACTAGTTTGGCTGCAAAGAAGAATTCTGTGTACACTGGGGACAACACCTGATTTCTGTAAGGCTGCAGAATTGGGCTGACATCAGAATCCACACATCCTCTGGTCAGTGCAAGCAGAGGAATTCCTCTAATGATTTGGACTTTATGTGATGTAATATGGATGTCATGGATAATTCAGACCAATGGGGAAAACAAAATAAAAAACACTGTTTAAACACCTTCCGTCCCTCCCACCCCTCCCCTCTTGAGGACTCCTGACCAACCAACAAACTTAAACAAAGCCTTTGCTTAAGTTTGTTAGCATATGTATTGTGCTGTTAATGCCATTTAAAGATTGAATGCCCTCCCTAGCCACGTTCTGCTCCTTTAAGCAGAGGGGGGAGCTAGTTCCAAGTCTTTCTGGTATCCTGTACCCGCTAAAAATCTCTTGCTGGTACTGTGTACTGGAGGGTAGTGCCCTATTTTCACTCCTGGAGGTTAGTGAAGACAGCTTGTAGGTGATTGCAATTATTTTAATATACTTTAATTTATGAAAATGTAATTATGTAGTTCATAGCCATTTAATCGTTATTAAAATAGTAAAGATACCAATATAGATGCATTCAATAACTAGAATATGAAATAAGTATATGAATATGCTGAAAATAGCCTCCCCCCCAAAACTGGCAGTCACATACACCTCCTCAAAAGTACCCACCAGCAAAAACAAAAGTCAGCACCTATGCAAATCTGGGTGTCTGAAATTAGGCACGTAAATCAGTATTCTGATTTTTAGAGGTGCTGATCACCGACAGATCCCACTAACTTCAACTGGAGTTGGAGGCACTCAGCATCTCTGAAAAGTCAGCCACTTTCCATCTCAGGTTGAGCACCCAAAAATACTCTCTAAGCCTCCCCTATCCCCACAATTATATCTAATCTATCTCATACTCAGAATCAGTTGCCATTTCAGAAAATGTTGGTCATGTATCTTTAGGACTGTCACCTTGTGCATCTGTGACTCATAAAGCTTCTGCTTGTCTCTCTCAAACACAGGGAGAAGCAACAGGATTCCCTCAAAGAAGGGCCAACAAGGACGATGTTGCACAACAGTGCTCACAGGAGCGCCCTTGACATAAGGAGAGACCCTATGACTTTGTAGCAGAAATCGAAGCGTCCCGAGTGGGTGGAGACAGTTCACTAAGAGAGGACGTGGGGCTCTTGTCCAGGATGAGTTATAGCATGCCCTCTGTACACGATTTGTACCGCAGCACCACTGCCACCTCTGTGCCAGACCCAGCGTCAACCATGGACAGGGCTCTACCAGAAACTGCTACCGTAAGCCCTGAAACCACCAGCTTTAACAGCACCAAAATCCCAGATGTGGTCAGCAGTGGGCCCAGCCTAAGCACAATGCTTCTCTCATTTGGAATCATTACTATGATTGGGTTGGCTGTAGCAATGGTAAGAGAGACCCACTCCATCCAGCATTCTAAATACTTTTCTTTCTAAAGTAGGGAGGGTGGGTGTGATTTATCAACACGAGTTTTAGTCCCAGTAACTTGATTGAACCAAGAAAGAGCCACCACACCGGAGAACCATACAAAAGTTTTGGGCACCGAAAGTGTCGGAGATCCACAACTTTTAACTGTCTTTATCCAGTGCTCAGAAAGAGCCAAGTCTGGGAGGTGTGTGTAGGCTCCCAGTAGGAACCCAAATCGCAGCACAATGATCAGTGCTTCTGGGATCTCCCAGGACTTCAGTCCAGGCAGGCTGCCCAGTAGTTTTGAGGATGCCAGGAACCAGTTCCCATATGTGGTATGAGCATTTTTTAAAATAACTTTGAGTTTATTTAAAAGAAAATGGGGCAGATTCTGCTCTGAGTTGTAAATCTGGGTTACAGAATAACAGCCATGTTAGTATGTATTCGCAAAAAGAAAAGGAGTACTTGTGGCACCTTAGAGACTAACCAATTTATTTGAGCATGAGCTTTCGTGAGCTACTCTACTCTGTCCTATGTAGGTTTTTATACCGTGCTTATCACTGTGGCATCTAAACACCTTCCAGTAGTGCATTAAGCCATATGACTATCCATCTGTTGTTTATGCTCTCATCCTCCCCCCAGAGGAACATGCATGTGCAGTGGAAAGTCTTGGTCTGGTAGGGTGTCTTTTTTTAATAAAAATATACCTATTACTAAAAGTGTGTTAGAAGAGACAAGGTCAGAGAAATGTGCCTTGCACTTGGAGCAGATAGTGAGGTTTGTGATGGCTCTTAGTTCCTGGGGAAGTTCATTCCACAGTCTCTGCCCCTGCAGAAAGTTCTGTCTCCCTTGACTGAGGTGGAGTTGGGGGGGGGCTGTCTAGCTTCCTGTGATACGGACACAGCAGAAGTAGGTCAGCACTTCAGATTACATGAGGTGATGCACTGTTAAGCAGTGAAATATTAAGAGGGGAAATGATCTCCCCTCCCCTTCTTCCCCCATTGTCATGTTTCCTTTCAAAGCCAGCTCCTGAGTAGATCCCTTGGCAATTTGGAAGTAAAAAGACTTCTGAATGTGTGGTAGGTTTCCTACATAACACCTAACCCATCTCCCATACGGAGAGTTAAAGAAAAAAGGAAGGTTCTGTGATTGTACAAAGAAGCTGTTATCCAAATAACAACTGGCATGTCTAATGATGTGTGGTGTGGAGTCCGTCACACTCTTCCCGCGGGATATTGAACAAATTCCCCGAGCTGCTCCACAGAGCCAGCCCTTCCATCTCCACTATAGGTAGTGGCTTTCTAAACCTTTCTTCTCACTTAGTCCTAAATGCGTGTTGCTCATAAAGAAGGCAGCGCAAAGGGCTGGGGTCCTTCTCTAGTAGAATAAGCTAGTTTATCTTTCAGAAGAAGATGGGTGTTAACAACAAAAATCAGTTCCTAGGGTCAGCTTCCCTTACAAACTGCAACAAGTTAATTTGTGGAACTTGCTGCTGCAGAATTTTCTTGCAGACTTTCGATAAAGTTTTCAAAGACAAAAGCAAGTCAACCTAGACCAGTGGCTCTCGACCTTTCCAGACTACTGTACCCCTTCCCTTTCAGGAGTCTGATTTGTTTTTTGTATCCCTAATTTCACCTCAAAAACTACTTGCTTACAAAATCAGATATAAAAATAGAAAATTGTCACAGCACCTTACTGCTGAAAAATTGCTACTTTCTCATTTTTACCATATAATTATAAAATAAATCAATTGGAATATAAATATTACACTAAATTTCAGTGTATAGTGTATATAGAACAGTATAAACAAGTCACTGTATGAACTTTTTGCTTCTACTGATTTCACTGGTGCTTTTTACGTAGGCTTTTGTAAAACTAGGCAGATATCTAGGTGAGTTGACGTACCCCCAGAAGACCTCTGCGTTCCCCCATGGGTACATGTACCCCTGGTTGAGAACCCCTGACCTAGACCATCCCTGTCAGCTGTTGTTCCAACCTTCTCTTTAAAACCTCTAGTGATGGGGATTCCACAACCTCCCTCGGAAACCTATTCCAGAACTTAACACCTGTTATAGTTAGAAAGTTTTTCCTAATATCTAACCAATCTCTCTTGTTGCAGATTAAGCCCATTACTTCTTGTCCCACCTTCAGTTAACATGGAGAATAGTTGATGACCATCCTCTTTATAACAATCCTTAACATATTTGAAGACTTATCAGGTCCTCCCCAGTTTTCTTTTCTCATGACTAAACTTGCCCAGTTTTTTGTAGTTTTTTTTAACTTTTCCTCATTGGTCAGGTTTTCTAAACCTTTCATTATTTTTGTTGCTCTCGGCTGGACTCTCTCCAGTTTGTCCACATCTTTTCTTAAAGTGTGGCACCCAGAACTTGACCCAATACTCCAGCGGAGGCCTCACCAATGCTTAATAGAGCGAGACAGTTACCTCCCATGTTTTACATACAACACTCCTGTTAATACACCACAGGATGATAGCTTTTTTGCAACTACTTCTCATTGCTGACTCATTCCATTTGTGATCCACTATAGCCCCCAGATCCTTTTCAGCAGTGTTAACACCTAGCCAGTTATTCTCCATTTTGTAGCTGTGAATTTGATTTTTTTCTTCCTAAGTGAAGTACTTTGCACTTGTCTTTACGGAAGTTCATCTTGTTCAATTCAGACCAATCCTCTAATTTGTTAAGGTTGTTTTGAATTCTAATTCTGTCCTCTAAAGTGCTTGCAACCCCTCTCAGCTTGGTATCACCTGCAGATTGTATAAGCACACTCTCTACTCCATTATCCAAGTCATTAATGAAAATACTGCTTAGTACCAGCCCCAGGACAGACCCCTGCAGGCCCCTCGAGGTACTCCTTCCCAGCTTGATAGCAAACCATAACTCCTCTGAGTATAGTCTTTCAACCTGTTATAAACCCACCTGAGAGTAATTTCATCTAGACCCAAATTCCCTAGTCTGCTTATGAGACTATCACCTGGGAGTGTGTCAAAAGCCTTACTAAATTGAAATATACCACATCTACTATTTTACCCACCCGCTCGGCCAGTAACCCTGTTAAAAGAAGGAAATTAGTTTGGCTTGGTGTAGTTTGTTCTTGACAAATCCATGTTGGCTATTCCTTGTAACCCTATTATCCTCTATGTGCTTACAAATTGATTGTTTAGTAATTTGATCCAGTATTTTTCCAGGACTGGTCTGTAATTCCCCAGGTCCTCCTTGTTCCCCTTTTTAAAGATAGGCACAATCTCCTGCTCCTCTCCTCACTGGAACTGTTTTAATGGTGTTTCTCTTTCTCCTCTAGGTTCTCTATATCAGGAAGAGGAAGAGGTAAGTGCAGTCTGCTTTTGGGGAATCTTAATGCATCAAAGCTAAGGCAAAGACCAGGTCATCTCTAGCAGACAGAGAGGCCAGGGGAAGGGAGTCAGATGGGAATGCAGAGTTCCCTCCCTTTCTCCCCCCCCCCGTTGTAGATTTCTTTCTCAAAGCCAGCTCCTTGCCATTTGGGAAGCCAAAAGTCCTCTGAATGTGTGGTAGGTTTCCTACACAACACCTAACTTATCTCACATAGGGAGGGATAAAGAGAGGGGGAACGTTCTGTGTTTGTACAAAGAAGCGGTTATCCATATAACAGGCATGTCCTATCAGCGGTGGAGTCTGTCACATTTCAGCCAATCTCAAATGCTACGCTTACAGGCAGGGCTCCTCTGCTCCAGCTGCCTTATGTAATGAAGTTTGCCTGGCAAGGCTACATGTGCCAGACCCCAGTTCTCCAAAGCTTCGGCTTAGCTTGGCAAGGGCTGTGGGCCTACCTTTCCCCCTGCTTTCCTCTGTTTATGGCAGTGCTGCTGGGCGGAATGATGGACTCCACATTTCCCCTGGATCCGGTTTTGCAAGACACTAAGTTTCCTAGCTCAAGATTTAGTGGTCTCCCCCTCACCCACCCATTAAGCTTGCTGCTGAAAATCAGGCGAAGGATGGCAAGCAGGGAAAGACATCTCTCCTTGATTCTCCTGCTATTTCCAAATGGACACAGACATTGGTGAATTTCTGTGCCATGGACGGTGCCTCACTTAGTGACTGCAGTGGGCAATGCTAGGCTACACACAGTGTGCAGGATACATTGCTACTAGCCAGAAAACTTACAAGCTGGTTCCCAAAGCAGGGACTTGAGAGAAACAGAAGCAGCTAATGGCAGTGCTGAAACATTTAGCCTGTAAACATACTGATGGTTTAGTGGGCAGAACCCAGCCAGAGGCAGGCAAGGGTCATGTGGAGAACGTCATCTGAGCCTGGGCCAAAAGGGATATTTGTGGTGGTGAACAGTTCAGGAATCCCTGCCTCCCCACAAAGTGACACCCACAGCATATGCCGGGGCTTTGACAGCTACACACAAGTATGCCTGTGTGATGGGGTCAGCAGTCCCTCTCATCATTGCTTTGTCTAGGCCAGCATGAAGGGAGACTCTTTGTGGGGTCAGGCTACATTGTTAGTGTGAGAGCAGGTAAGCCACACAGAACTACAAAGTGTTTGTGTGTCCATCAGCTCCCTCAAGAGCTCCTTTTAGATTTTACGTACCAATCCCGCCTTCCTCCTTCCCAGGTTGTTGGCAGAGACTGAACTCAGAACCAGACACAGGCCTCTACCACTTGAGCTGAAGATGTAATTCTGCCAGCAGTAGGAGGTTTTTATCCAACATGTGGACTAGCCACTGTGGTTGGGAGGTGGGGGCGGGGGGGTGTACAGCACACTGAGCCAGCGTGGTACGTGCTTCCCCCTGCCACATAAAGCTTATCCTGAGATTCTAGGTCAGTTTAAATCCCCACATGAGCCCCTGCTGTGCAGCCACAGGTTACCGGGAGTAACTGAACCGTGCACATTCAGTACCGACCTCTTCCACTTTGTCTAACAAAACAACCTGGTTAGCGGGTAGCAGCAGTTGGATCTTATCCTTGCCCCTGGACGGGGACATGACACTTAGTGAGTTACAGCCAAATCTTCTCTTAACAGCAAGAAGCACCCTAAAATATAAAATATAGCCCTACACACAGATCCATACACACGTTTCAGCAGCTGCCCAGCAACAGAGTGGGGAGGGAAGACTAACCAGTCTATTTCACTCTCCCTCTTTCCTCAGCCACAGGTTTCGATGCTGCACTTTGCTCTTCTTTCCTTTGGCAGGTTAGAGAAGCTGCGGCACCAGCTCATGCCCATGTACAATTTCGACCCCACAGAAGAGCAGGACGAGCTGGAACAAGAGCTGCTGGAGCATGGGAGAGATGCTGCATCTTCCCAGGCCACCCAGAGCAAGGTAGCAGTTGCCTTCCACAGTCACATCACCCTTCTTTCTACCCAACCCACTCAGGGACGTGCAGGCCTGTTATTACTGAGCCTGGCAAATGCATTGGAGTTAGTCTTGTAATGAACGCCGTGTGTGGCATAAGCCACACGGAGCCTCTGGGGTCTTCATTAACCACGTGGTACAGGCTTGGGTAGAAGGCCAGAGCAGCTTGGAAAGGAACAGGGAAAGGGGAAGGTCACAGGGTTGTCATTACAGAGAGATGGTGGGAGGGAAAATGCAAAATTTGGCAAACTAGAAGAGGGGGAAGGGAGGGTTTCAGCAATTAGGGGATAGGTTTCCTATAGCTAATCTCTCAACATGCTGCAAGGGCCTAGCAGAGCATCAAATGGAGTTGGAGCCGGTACGTGCTGGGAGTGGGAGCTGACAAACAGAGCCCAGCACATGCATGGCCAAGTGTGCAGCCCTTGCACAGGCCATGGAGAAGGGCATCTTCACCTCATGAGCACCCCTTCCTCTCTAGTGATAGCATTGCATGGGGTCCTGGTCTCTAGCATTCCTCCTTCTGGGCTCTCCCTGGGGCTGCAATGGCCTATCTCAGGCCACATCTTCCCCTGACTCCCTCTCTGTGGTTCTGCAGGTTGGTCATCTAGCCAAACCAGATAGAGTCTAAACCCCCTCCGCAGGAGCACAAACTAACAATCTAAATAAAAGTCCATATCAATCTTCACACTAATAGCGCTTCTGCCCCCTCAGGCTTCAGTGTAGTTCCCTTATTTTCCTCTGCCTCAGAGGTTCCCTTGTAGGAACCTAACCTGCCCCTCTAGCCTAGAGTTCTTTCACCATTGTTTCCTGCCTATTAAACTCTGTCCCAGAGCACCTCTCCACTAGTATCTGCCACCTCAGCAATCTCTCCCAAACTGAGCTCCACAGACCAGCTCTACCTCCTCTGGTCTGGAGGCAATTAGTAAGTCTCCCCTCCAGGTGCAGAGCATGCCTAGTTGCAGTTCTGTCTCTTGCTTTGCAGCTGGTGGGGGTTAAGCCCCATCAAAGGGAGTAACCAATTTCTCATCTGCATGAAGGAATCTAACCCTCTGGTTGGCCCATAAGGCAGCTGTGGAGAAGTGTGTCTCAGCAAGGGCCTTGCTGTGGAGGGTAGGGGTGCAGCCTCCTGTGAGTTTCCAATCATTGCAGTTAGCACACATTGCATTTCCAAGTAGAGGAGTGATGGTGAAGTATGCATGGACTTGGCTAAGCAGGTTACTTGAGTGCTACTGCATACAAGGCTTTAGAAGAAAGACCGGGAGGCAAGTTTCTGCTTTAGCTCAAGTGGGACGGGCTTTTGCAGCAGAAGCGCCCAGGCTCTAGGTTTGACAGCTGCTGCAGACCTCTGAATGGCCACGGCATGCACCATAATGACAACTGCAAAGTCCCACAATGCTGCCGTTTTGCTACACTAGAGAGATTTGAGAAGAGGGTCTCCACTAGTGGTTTTCAATTGCTATTGGTATAGTCTTTGCAGTATCTCAGCCAACATGTTAGCTCTGTGCCAATTTGCCCAGGGCACCAGGTTGTGGGAGGAGCAGGGAAAGGAGCTACTTACGACTCTCAGCCAGTTTCACAATCTTCTTTGTTTTCATTGTGGGGGGAAAAAGTTCTTATGAAATGCAGAGGCATCAGGGATAGCTGGAACAGGTACGTCTTGGAGCAAGTGATGTGAGGGTGCAGCCCCTCTGTAGAGTAAACAGCTCCCCTTCCTTAGATTTCTTTTCAGCTGTACCAACCAGCCCACATATTCCTTTCCATTTCCTATGGAGCTTTTCCTTGGGGGTGGAAAGTGCTCTTGTTTTCACACACATACTTCACTTTATATACTTAACTAGTTGGCAGCAGATTAATGGAGGTGAATGTGGGAGAGGAAAAATATGTAGAAGTTGTAACTGTAAAGCCTTTTTCCCCAAAGGAACCTCCCCTATTGCCTAAGCACACATGTAAAAATGTAGTAGCAAACTGTCATGTGGGCAGGTAGAGACACCTGAGGTAACAAGTAAACAATGGCAGCTTTTGCTTCTGTATCTTCTCCTTCACAGAGTCATCATCTTAAAATTCTGCTTCCAGAACTAACAGTATGCATCTGATGAAGTGAGCTGTAGCTCACGAAAGCTTATGCTCAAATAAACTGGTTAGTCTCTAAGGTGCCACAAGTACTCCTTTTCTTTTTGAGAACTAACAAAGCGTCCCTGAGAATACACACTGCTGCACTTGACATGGGCACAAACTACAAAACTTTGATCTGCAGGCTGACTGCCCTGAAATTCACAGGGCTTTTGGATAAGGGGTTTTGATAGTTCCATTGTCAGAATAAAGGCCAGTGGCCAAATTTGGACCCAAATCTGGATTTAGATTCCAGTTGCCTGCCCCAAAATGTGGGCTGTTTCTTCAAACCCAACTCTACTAGACAGGATAGAGCAGGGAGTTGGGTTACTGCATTTTAGGTGACCGGTTCTTCTGGGATCACTTACCCCTTGTATCACTGCTTGTGTGTATGTTTTGGAGGGATTGTTGGTGGCAGAGGGTTGTGTGTTTAACATGTTGATTTTTGAAAAGTAGAGGAATAATATATAAAGTAGGGATTCTGACTAAAATGCGACTAGGAAGAAATACAGGATGCATAAGGAAGAGCTCATTCAGATAATGAAGTGTGTGAGGGAGGGAAACAATGGCACAGTAGCAATGCCAAAGGCAACTGATTAGAACAGGACTGTGCTGCTGGACTCCTCAGATCTGCCTGGGGCCTGCTGCCTCACAGCTGCCTCTGATGATAAATGGCAATTGTAAAGGTTCGAAAGAGTAAGAGAGAACATCCAAAATGGAGCCACTGTATAGCATGTGGCAGGTTTCATAGGTTCCAAGGTGCAAGAGCCATAGGGCTACAACAGTTTGGAAGTGACTGCCTTGTACATACAAATATTGATAAAGAGATAAGCCATCCAAATGATGCAGGGAGAAAGAAAGTGTTACATGTTGTTTATCCATGCAGCCTGGATAAACTACATCTAATGATCCCCATTGTCTGATGGTGTAAATTGGCTTGTCTCCATTGACTTCAATGTCTGACCTAATATATATATTTGGGTCACATATTTGTTAAGCCCAGTGTTTTCTAATCAGACTAATCCTGGTGATGAATGTAGGCATAGGCGTGCGTACAGGGTGTACCCAGGCACACCCTAATGCAGGGCTGGGTAAGCTCGTCCTGCCCGGCCCACCCCGAGCTCCCGGCCAGGGAGGCTCCCCATCTTCCCCCGGCGCCTCAGCGCGCCGCATCCGGGAGCGGCCCTGGACAGCGCGGCTGCAGCGGGACCTGAGCTCCCGCCGCTCGGAGCCGTGTGGTGAGGGGCGGGGCTGCGAGTGCAGGTCCCGCCGCTGCAGCGCTGTCCAGGGCCGCTCCCGGACGCGGCGCGCTGAGGCGCCGGGGAGAGGTGGGGCTAAGCGGCACGGTGAGGGGGCCGGGAGTCCTGGGGACAATCAGGGGCTGGCTGGGGCAGAGGCTCTGGCGGTCAGGGGACGGGGGGTTGGAGCGTGGGAGTTCCGGGGGTCTGTCAGGAGGCGGGGGCGTGGATAGGGGTCGGGGCAGTCAGGAGACAGGGGGGTCCCGGGGTGGTGGTTGGGGGGGGCGGTCAGGGAGCAGGATGGGTCGGGGATTACGAGGGGGGCAGGAAGTGCGGGGGGGGGGGTGTCGGAGGCGGGGAGGGGCCAGGCTGTTTGGGGAGGCACAGCCTTCCCTACCTGGCCCTTCATACAATTTTTGACCCTCGATGTGGCCCTCGGGCCAAAAAGTTTGCCCGCTCCTGCCCTAATGTCTCCACAAAAAAAAGAAGAAGACGGGGCTATGCGTTTTAATGTAACCGCATGATGCGCTCGGCATGGAAAGCCCACAGTCGCTCCAGCGTGCGTCCCCACGGCTGCGGCGCCGCATTACCATTGGCCCTCCCCTCCCCTCCCACCACTAGTCTAGAAAATTCTTTGATCTCTATCAGGGGTTGGCAACCTATGGTAGGCGAGCCAGTTTTTAATGGCAGGCTGCCGTCTGCCGGACACGGGCAGACAGCAGCGTGCCACCAAAAATCCGGCCCGGCCTGGCCCGCTCTTTTCCGCCCCCCCGCCCTCTCCTTGCACGGCAGGCAAGCTTCCCCCTCCCCCGCCTCTTCCCCCAGCATGCTGGGTTCCTGCGCTTCCCCCTCTCCCTCCCTACTGCAGATCAGCTGACGGCCCTTGGCAGGGAGGGGGAGAGGGAAAAGCAGAGCCACAGTTCGCTCTCTGCTCCGGGGACCTTGGGGAAGGGGATGGAGTCAGGGGATATCCCCTCCAGCCGGCTGCTGTGAACCGCTCACGGCAGGGGGCTGGGAGCACCCCCATGACCCCCGCCCACACCCCCAGCTCTCTGCCCTGACCCCTGCACCCCCTCACACACCCCTAGCCCCCCCCTGCCCTGACTCCTGCACCCCCCACACATACCCAGGCCTCCCCATGCCCTGACTCTTGCACCCCCACTCCCACCCTGAGCACTAAACGGGAGCTCCTGCACACACACACACACATTCACACCTGCACCCCTCATACCAAGTGGGAGCTGCCCAGGTAAGCGCTCCACACCCAAACCTCCTGCCACAACCCTGAGCCCCATCCCTCATTCTAGCTCCTGGCCAGACCCTGCACACCAATCCCCAGCCTGCTTCTTCACCCCCAGCCCTATTCTCAGCACACTCCCACCCTCATCTCAGTGCAGAGAGAGGAAGAGAATGGGCTAGAACCAGGGAGAAGGTAGGTACCTACTCTATGCAGACGGGGCCGGGACTCCAGACCGGCAGTGGGCTGAGTGGGACTGGCAGCCGGGACCCTGGCTGGCAGGAGCCAGCAGACGGAACCCCAGACCGACAGGGGGCTAAGCGGCAGTGGGCTGAGCCGCTCAGCTCACTGCCAGTCTGGGGTCCCGGCCACCAGCCCCGCTCAGCCCACTGCCAGTCTGGGGTTCTGGCTGCCGGTCTAGGTGAACGGAACCCCAGGCCGGCAATGGGCTGAGCGGGCCAGCGGCGTAAGATCAGCATTTTAATTTAATTTTAAATTAAGCTTCTTAAACATTTTGAAAACGTTGTTTACATACAACAATAGTTTAGTTAGGTAATATATAGACTTATAGAGAGAGACCTTCTAAAAAACGCTAAAATGTATTATTGGCACGCAAAACCTTAAAGTGAATAAATGGAGACTCGGCACACCACTTCTAAAAGGTTGCAGACCCCTGACCTATATAAACGGCTGCGTCAGGCATGCCCAGCGCAGTGTCTACAGTGTTTGTAAGCTTTGTCACATGTACTCTGCTGAAATAGCCTAACAAGCCTGTGGCTTTACGTTTTAATTCAATCGTATGACACCCCCTTTTAATTTTAAAATATGGATCGGTTCATTGTTAAGTTAAGAAAAGGAGCAGACAAGCTGTTCATGTGAAAGAGCCTTTTCGAAACTAGCACATGTAAAAAACAATCTAAGAAGTACAGTGTCCCAAAACAGCGCCTCGACTCACTCATGATTTTGTACATTGAACAAGAATTGGTTTCGTCAGTTAATTACAACGATGTGATTGAGGAATTTAAGTCCATAACACCTGGTGAGCGAAGTCTCACTCTCTAGGACAGGAAGATGAAGAAACCTTAATCTGTTTTGGTCGGTTTGGGTTAGCTCATTATCTGGTTAAAGATAAAGATCATGAAAATTTACTATCTTTGTATACGCCTGGTTATCACTACAGCAAAACTTTGGTATTTTGTGCCTCATATTTTAAGTAAAGTTTAGTTGTTAATTTAAAAAAATTAAGTTAAGTTTTAGTTTATTTAGTTTGTTTGATGAATAAAAATAATGTCCTTTATGACTGAGTAATTCAATAAATGTTTGCCTTTTAAAAAAATTCCCTGGGTGCACATCCTAATGAAATGTGCTGCGCAGGCCTGTGAATGTAGGTAAGACACAGTGTGTAAGTTTATGAAGAGACATGTGGGTTTGCAAATATCTCTGCAGATCCTTGCCTTGTCTCATCTCTCATTGCTTCATTTTTGCAGATCCTCCTGATGAGCCAGGGAACCGTCCAGAGACCCAGCCGCCTTGTGTTCACAGACGTCGCTAACGCTATCAATGCGTGAATGACACCTGCCCCTGCTTTGGATCACGCTGAGATCGGGGAGGACGGAGCCAACCAGTTACATACCACAAGCATGGATGAGGATACCGAGCTTACCGACCACCCCATCAGTTTGTGCTGTGACTGAGGAGCAGTTCTGGGCATTTACACACTTCAGGCAGCAAATGCTTGGTGGTGGCTGGCTGCAGCAACTTTTGGTGCGTCCGTCGCTACCAAAGGGCCCTGAGCTGCCATGCTCAGATTTCAGGAGCGATCCTGGTTAGTGCCGTCTTACCAAGCTGTGCAGGGTTGAAGATAAACTGTCTTGAAGCTAAATCGGTCAGAACACAGGACCCTACCAAGTCATGGGATCGTGGCAGGGGTGGGAGCACTTGTTTTGAAGGGCTTTCCCAGTGGTTTTATACCATAACATCTCATGGTTGGAGTCCTGCAGTGTAATCTAATGGTTTCCACGGAGCTTTAGCGGGTGCCTGGAGGCAACTTAAGCCTCCTTGAGCTGGAAGGCAGTGCAGCTGTGCCTGTCTCCTCGGCAGTGCACATGATATTATCCCAAAGGCAAGCTCATCTGTCTTGCCTCTTGTGCTGCCTGGATTGTTCATAAACACACTCACGGGGTAGCACTCAAAGATTCCTTGTGGTCTTCCATTGGGTTTTGGTAGCACTGGAGTTTCACTAGTTTTAAAGGTGAACCAAAGAGCTTTGGAAAAATAAATTGATTACATAAATCTAAAGAGAGGAAATGGTTGAATGTCCCAGATCAGTGATGTAATAAGAATGTAAGGACAAGCCATTCAGCTCGTAGAAGCTGGGACCTCTCATCTCCCTCTGTAGAGCTCCCTCTGGCTTAGCTAGGAGTGGCAGTGATTGGTGACCGGATACCACAGTGGTAGAATTAATATAATAATAATAAATAAATGGGATTGGATGTAATCCCATCCACTCCTGTGCTTTGGCCAAGGAAGATGGTTCTTACAGAGCAAAGTTTTCTGAGGGAAGAACAACACTTTGAGGAAGTCTGTGTGTGTGAGAGAGAGAGAGTGAGAAAATATAGGACAAATACATTTCAGTACATAATAGTCAAAAGTGTGATCCTTACTTATTTACCTGCCAGAACCTGGATTCAGGGTTCTTTGCTTCTCCTGCTGAAATAGATGACCCCATCTAAAGCAGTGTACAGCGTATAAGAAAACGCTCTGCTTTATGTCTCAGTCACATCAGCCAGCAATGCAGAAGAAATGCAAAATCTTGAACTTGGGTCTTGGTAGGTAAAAACAAATCCTTTTGGTTCACCTTTATCACTGGTGCACTTCTCTCTCAGCTGTGTCATTAACTGATGGGCGAGTGCTGAAGAGGAAGCTCCTGGGCAAGAGTGCTGTTATGGTGCCTACCAGGCCCCCACTGCAACTGGCCAACTTAGGACACTGCAGTATGGAGCTGGCACTGTAATAAGCAGAGCTTTCTGGCAGTCACCAAGAGGAAGTGCAGTATGGCCAGGCACTGCAGGGAGAACATCAAAAGCAAGTAGCAGGACCTAAGCAATGATAGTAGGAAAGTGTAAAAACAGGCTGTCTGTAAGTTTCCCTTCACCCATGTCCCCCAGCAGAGCCAGATCATAAGACAATTGTAATACCAGGTGATGGGTCTGTACCTATGGATCTATATAGATATAGTCAAGAGATCCAGCTGTCCCACCAATAAGTTTGAGACCTGATGTATGCAGCACATGCATGTGTCCATCACAGTTGATGCACTGATTATCTATTGATTTTCCTTCAGCACATGCATTTGTCAAACAGAACTGCCTTCTGCCCAGGTGCTCCAGAGCAGAGAGAGCCAACTACATGACTCTCAAAGTAAAGAGCTCTCTTTAAATTGGCAGCCAAAATCTGAATGCATACCTATATTTAGAAAGTGGGCATTATGCAAAGAGGCAGGTGACTGGCTGTCAGAGTGTCCAGTAGTTTGGGTATTCATCGAACTGCACAAGTCAGGACTTGCTGGTCAGCGTACCCGCCCTCAAATCATTTTCTGACAAATTTCCCCCTTTCATATGTGCACATACCTTTCCTGCTTATGGGCCCGATCCTGCAACCCCTTCTCATGCAACTTGTCCTTACCCAGCAGAGTATTCACTGACTACTCACCTGCATAAGACTTTGCAGGACTGAGCCTTTTGGGAGGTTTATTTTTTTTAAACTTCCCCTCCCTGTTAAAAGCTTGAGGATTCTTGGAACCTGTTTGATCCTGGAGTCTGTAGCTGCCTTTGGGAAAATGGCCCTCAGCTCATAGCCAGAAGAAAACTGGAATCTACGAAAAGGCATCCCAGCACCTTAGCTACAGGCTGCCATTAGTGTTCCCACTCCAAAAGGATTGCTTACAACAGGGTGAGGTGTATGGAAATAAGCTTGATCCTCAGCTGGTGTAATACAGCCTATCTCTGCTGGGTTTGGTGGACATTGTCAATGGCCCAGATCCATAAACGTATTTAAGTGCCTAATTTAATGGGAGTTAGGTGCTAATACCTTTGAGGTTCTGAGCCCTGGAGGCTTCAATGCAGCTACACTGATTTTACCCCAGATGAGAATCTGAACCAAACACATCACATACTTTACTCTGCTTTGGGAGAACCATCATCTCTTTCTATTGGCTCAGAAATGGCTTCCAGCAACTGAGTTGTCAGATTTCTCCCTTGTAGATTTCAGCTGTTGCTGTAAGGCCCACTGGGGCTTGGCAGGCCTTAGGGCTTCTGAACTATTTGAAAACTAAACAACATTGGCTTTTTTCTTTTTAGGGGAACATTTTTCAAGACTCCTTATCACTGACGTGAATTTTTTTAATTCTTTGATTCAATACGCAAAACGGTAACAGGAAGTATTTCCTAAAAGCAACAATATGCTTTGCAAAGCGCTGTGAACCCCTTCCTTGCATTTCTCAGGCAGTTGCTGAGTGATGCACTTACTGTGTATCCAGAACGAAACCCATACCTTGTCATGTATTAGGGGTAAGACCTATATTATATAATAAATGGACAGAATTCCACTCAGATTCAAACAGTTCTCTTATATAAGGGGGCTCTGTCCTGTGCTGGGGGCCGTTGAATCAATGTAATACAGATAACAAGACTAAAAGAATATTTCCACTATTGGCTGGGCTTTAGCATTCTTTTAGTGTAATAGCACCTCCTTACAGGGTACTGGACATATACATATAATTTAGTAGATGTGTTAAGGTGTAATTTAACTCAAGTTTTAATCATTCAGATGTAATTAAAGTATTTACATGAAATCTGGCATGATTTTTAGTCTTTTTTTCTTTTCATTTTTCAGGAAAAATGGCTGAGCACATATACCCAATGCATGCTGAATCAGCATGTTCCAAGCACAGTACTAGACACTGAATACTTGAGCAGAAACACTCCCCCTCCATGAGAAAAAATATCAACAGGTTGAGATCGACAAAATCGGGCTTGCAGAGTTTCTGCTGAAAGCTTCTCTCTGGGGAGAACAAACTGGGGTGAGACAACCCACATTGCAGATCACAAGGATGCATGATCAAGGAGTATAGAAGCCAGGGCTTCTGTGGTTGGAACTTGTGCTCTGGCAGCCCAGTTTCTGGATAAGCCACATTCTCATGGACATCCCCACTCATACCAATAATAATCCTTCTGAGATTGCAAAAAAAGTGGGGATGAATACTACTTGAAGAAGCCCTGAGAGTCCCTTGCTGATATACACTAGACTATCTACCAGGATTGCAGAGACAATAGGAATTGTAGAAAATTGATAAGGGAGGCAAAAGGACACAAGCAAACTCTACAGCCAGCAAAGTTAAGGACAACAAGGAGGTTTCTTAATATATTGGTCTATTACTAGATGGAAATGATAGACTTATCAACAACATAGACAAGGCAGAAGTGTTTAATAAATATTTCTGTTCTGTATTTGGGGAAAAAACAGATTGTCATGTCATCTGATGATGACATTCTTTCTATTCTATCTCATGGGGATATTAAACAGCAGTTACTAAAGTTAAATTTTTTTGAAATGAGCAAGTCCAGCTAACTTTCATTCAAGAGTTTTAAAGAACACTGAGGAGCTTGTTGGACTGCTAATGTTGATTTTCAATTAGACTTCAAACACTGGGGAAGTTCCAGAAGACTGGAAGAAAGCAAATGTTTTGCTAATATTTAAAAAGGGTAAACAGGGTGACCTGGGTAATTATAGACCTATCAATCTCAGGCAAGATAATGGAGTGGCTGCTAGAGGACTCAATTAACTAAGAAATAAAGGAAGGAAATATAATTAATGCCAATAAACATGAGTTTACGGAAAGTAGAGCCTGTTTAAAACTTTTTATTTTTTGACAAGATTACAAGTTTGGTTCATAAAGGTAATAGCATTGATGTAATAGACCTCTGTAAGCCATTTGGCTTGGTACAGCATGACGTTTCAATAAAATGAAAATGATATAAATATAATGGTACACATTAAATAGATTAGAAGCTGGTTAACTGAGAGGTCTCAAAATGTAAATTGGAATTATCATTGAGTGGGTGTGTTTCAAATAGGGTCCTGCAAGGATTGGTTCTTGGCACTACGCTATTTAACATTTTTACTTAGCACATTATGACCTGGAAGAAAATATAAATTAACTGATAATGTTTGCAGAAACACAAAAGTTGGGGGGAGTGATTAAATAATGAAGAGGACAGGTCACTGATACAGAGCCAGCTGAATCTCTTGGTAAGCATAGCACAAGCAAATATGTGGTTTAATATGGCTGAATATAAATGTATACATCTAGGACAGTGGTTCTCAAACTGTGGGTCGGGACCTTGTTTTAATGGGGTCACCAGGGCTAGCATTAGACTTGCCGGGGCTGAAGCCTGAGCCCCACTGCCCAGGGCCTAAGCCTAAGCTCAGGTTACAGGGCCTCTGCCTGGGGCTGAAGCCCTTGGGCTTTGACTTTGGCCTTAGCCTCCCTGCCTGGGACAGCAGGGCTCAGACTTTATTTTGTCCCCCACACCCAGGGCAGCAGGGCTTGGGCAGGCTCAGTCTTCAGCCTCTACTCCTGGGGATGAGTAGTAATTTTTGTTGTCAGAAGGGAGTCACAGTGCAATGCAGTTTGAGAACCCCTGATCTAGGTACAATAAATGGCCATCCTTTCAGGATAGTGGACTCTATCCCAGCATGCAGTGACTCAAAAAAATTTGGGGGTTGTGGTGGAGAATCAGCTAAACATGGACTCCCAGTGCAATGCTGTGACTAAAAGGACTAATGCAATCCTTGGATGCATAAACAGGTGTGTCACAGGGTCCACTCACCGTTGGTGGCACCTCCTCCTGGCCATCCTGGGGATTAGCTCTGGCCAGGCATTGTGCCCTTCTCCCATGGTGCCTCTCCCACTGTTCTCTCGCCAGCTGCCCCCCACGGGGCTCCCTCTTCATGACTTGGCCCTGTGGCCAGGTCACCACATGTTTCTCCTTGCGGGGGTGGGGGGGACACTAGCCAATATCTCCGGTCCCAGACACGAACCTAGGAACCTCCCTCTTGCAGCGTCCAGATATGCCCGCTGGGCGCTGCAAGCTTATATAAGTTCGTCAATTTAACAAAGAAATTGATATATATCAGGCTTGTTATCCCAAGGGGAGCCTCTGACACACTTCAAACCAAACACACTGCTTCAGGTAGAGTAAACAAACAAATTTATTAACTATAATGATAGATTTTAAGTGATTATAAGTCAAAGCATAACAAGTCAGATTTGGTTAAATGAAATAAAAGCAAAACACGTTCTAAGCTGATCTTAACACTTTCAGTGCCCATACAAACTTAGATGCTTCTCACCACAGGCTGGCTGGTTGCTCTTCAGCCAGGCTCTCCCCTTTGATCAGTGCTTCAGTCGCTTGGTGTGGTGTCTGTAGATGTCGGTGAGAGAGAGCGCACGCGCACAGGGCAAATGTCTCCACCTTTTACCATGTCCTTTCTTCCCTCTTGGCTTTTCCCACCCCTCAAGTCAAGCAAGGTTGAACAATTTCCCTGGTGTGGCCTCATGCAGGTGAGTCATTGCATTGTAGTTCCTAGACTGGACAATGGCTGTTGATGGATTGTTTGACACCCCACCCAGGCATTGGTTACTTTCCTTGCTGTTGCCTCTGGGTAGCTAATATCTGGCTGATTCCCCCAACTTACAGCATATTTTAGTGACAACCATACTACACAGTTCTCATAACTACATATATGGATAGAGAAATTACTTTCAGTAGATCATAACCTTTCCCCATGATACCTTACAAGGCATACTTTTTACATAAGATCACAATTATATGAAAATGAGGAATATGGGGGTTATAACATGCTCCCCCAAGGTATAGAATGTCATAACCAGATAGTCCACTGTTCTCTACCTGGTTGGTGCCACATTCCAGGAGGCTGGTAGGAGAACCCATGCCCACTCTTTTCTCTAGATTCCAGCTCAGGGGCCCTTTAATCAGCAGCCAAGATCTACACTCCTATTCTTTGCTACTTTTCCCCTAAGCCGCTTCTCTTGCTCTGGGTTCACAAGCCTCCCAACACACCTCTACAGAAAGTAGCCATGACCTATCCTCTACAAACCTAAACACTCCTTCTAAAGAGTGACTGCCACCTACTTCCCAGCAGCCCCCAGCTCCTGGGCTTTATACAGGCCCCTCCTATTCCTGTCCAGCTGAGCCTGCTCCCAATTAGCCTAAATCTCTTCCCTGCTTGCTGCTTAATTGGTTGATTGGACCCCCTGGCCTAATTCAACCCTTTTACAAGGTGAATCTCAAGTAGGAGTAGAGAGGTGATTTGGTACTGGTGCAACCGCTGCTGGAATACTGTGTCCAGTTCTGGTGCCCACAATTCAAGAAGGATGTTGGTAACTTGGAGAGGGTTCAGAGAAGAGCCAGAAGAATGATTAAAGGCAGACATGACAAGTCTCACTCACTGGATGTGAGACTCACTTGTTAGCATGCTATCTCACTCTCACACATATTCCTAAACTTATCTCACTCATTTTGAGTAAATATACAAAGATTTAAAATACTTTTACTCAAGGGCTGAAAGAGACAACAATACACCTGGGGCCTCAGGCATAGGGCTTGGAGCTTGGCAACCACTTTCAAAGCTTGTGTACTGTGGTAACCATAAAGACTATAGGCCCAAGAGACGAGGCTATCCGGCAGTGAGGTATGGTTGTGTGTGTGAATACTTGATGCTCAAAAAAATGAGTTCGCCCAAAAAAATGAGCAGGACTTGATTGAAAGATTACAGGTTCTGCAAAATCCAGTTCAAAATTTAAACCATACTGGACAAATCCATGGCCCTTCATTGTCCCAGTAGCAGGCAAGACTTCTTTTTTTAAATTAGGTCTTCTCAAGTTCCCATTACTGTTCACAGTTGCCAGGCTTGTCTTAGTTTTATCCCACTCAAATGCAGGAGAAGAGAGAGCGTTCAGTCTTGTTCGAAAGAATAAGACACCATTCAAACCAAACCTTGGACTAGAAGGGCCACTGGTCTCTATTATCCAAGCGAAGCTGGCAAATCCTCAGCCATGGTACAAGTTTAAGCCACCAAAAGAAGTTATAAAAACAGCAAAGGGGGTCTCATGGCGATATAACAAAGCACACAAATAAAACGTGAAACCAAATTAAATATTAAAAGAAATGTGGAATCTGAATCCTTTATCTATGGTTTGTTAACTTCAAATTAATTAAATTTAATTTGATTATTTTATGTATTTTTATATTTATGAAATGTATTGTTTGCTTGTGGTTTATTTTAATTATTTAATTTTAATGAATTTATTTTGCATTTATTTATTTTGGAATCTGATCATTTTAGTTTGTTGTAAATGTAACATGAGCAATGTTACCCAAACCAAATAGTATTTGTACTTATAAAATGTTTTTCAAATGGATGATTACTAGGACAAAGTGATATGCAAAATAAACATATTGTTGTATTGATAAAGCAGTTTTTTCTTTTTTATTAAGTTTATATAAAAACAGTTTATTTTTGAATATTTCTCGTTTTGTCCACTGACTGTGTGCCTAAACTAGGGGTTATTAACTGGCTGAGGTGACCAGACAGAAAACTGGAAGGGCTGCACCTTCCCTAGGCATGAGGCCCCATCCCTCCATTGGCACTGTCCTCATCTGTGGCCCTGGCCTGGTCAGGCCAGGGGCTGGAAGCCAGAGCTGAGCTGGACAGAGCGGGGCACTGGCTGGTCATAGCTGGTAAGAGCTGCTTAGGCAGGAACCCAGCTCCAGGGCTGACAGAGGCCTCAGGGAGCAGCAACCATGGAGGGTGAGGCCCAGGAGCCTGGGCTGAAGCGGGTCAGTACAGGCTGCTGTTGGGAATCCCGGACCCTCCACCTGGCCTGAGCGGCATGCTCCAGTGGGTGGGAACATGGGATGGGGCTGCTCTTGGGCCCCCCAGCCCTCTGCCCTCTGTAAGAAGGCTTACTTCTGTGTTGCTGCTGGAGCTAGGCGCCCAGCCAAGAGCCGCCACTCTCTACACTCCGCCTTCAGAGCTGGGTGGCTGGAGAGTGGCAGCTGCTACAGGGGGGATAAGGCAAATTTTGGGGTGGCTATAGCCCCCCACAAGCCTCTCCTAGCACCGCTCCTGAGCAATGACTTAACACTCCATCTGGAAAGTCTCGCTTTTTGTCATTGAATCACACTCTTTGGGGCTGTAAATCTCACTCTTAAGGACAGCCAACACTTAGCATCTCTGTTAAAGGATTAGAAAATATGCTTTATAGTGATAGACTCAAGGAACTCAATTTAGTTACCTATCAATTACTTGATAATGGGCTCGTCAGTCTAGCAGAGAAAGGCATAACATGATTCAATGACTGAACGTTGACCGATGGCAGGTTTCAGCTGTGTTAGTCTGTATCTGCAAAAATAAAAGGAGGACTTGTGGCACCTTAGAGACCAACAAATTGATTTGAGCATGCATCCGATGAAGTGAGCTGTAGCTCACAAAAGCTTATGCTCAAATCAATTTGTTAGTCTCTAAGGTGCCAGAAGTCCTCCTTTTCTTTTTAACATTGAGAGTAATTAACCTTTGGAACAATTTGCCAATGGTTGATGTGGATTCGCCATCACTGGCAATTTTAAAATCAAGACTGGCTGTTTTTTTAAGAGCTCTGCTCTAGGGATTATTTTGAATAAATTCTCCAGTCTGTGTTATACAGCAGGTCAGACTGGATTGGGGTGGGCAAACTATGGCCCACGGGCCATTTTTAAGCCAGCCTGCGAGCCGCACCACGTGGCTCGGCCCTGCTCCGGCTGGGTTGGGGGTCAGACCATGCAGCTTGACCCTGCCCCGGCAGGGGTGCAGTGTCGGGGGCTGGACCAGTGGCTTGACCCCGCTCTGGCCAGGGTGCAGGGTTGGGGCCACACCACACAGCTCCCAGAAGCTGCGGCATGGCCCTGCTCTGGCTTCTATGCACTCCAATGGGAGCTGCAGGGGAGGTGCTTGTGGATGGGGCAGCGTGGAGAGCCGCCTGGCCGCGCCTCTGTGTAGGAGCCGGAGAAGGAATATGCCACGGCTTCTGGGAGCCGCTTGAGGTAAGTGCTGCTTGGAGCCTGCATGCCCTGAACCTCTCCCCATGCCCCAACCCAGCCCTGATCCCCCTCCCGCTCTCCAAACCACTCAATCCCAGCCTGGAGCACTCTCCTGCACCCCAAACCTCTCATCCCCAGCCCCACCCCAGATCCTGCACCCTCCCAGCCAGAACTTGCACCCCCTGCCCCAGCCCTGATCCCCCTCTTGCCCTCCAAACCCCTTGGTCCCAGCCCAGAGCACCCTCCTACACCCCAAACTCCTCATCCCCAGCCCCACCCCAGAGCCCACACCCCCTCCTGCACCCCAACCCCAACTTTGTGAGCATTCATGGCCCACCATACAATTTCTAGTCCCCGATGTGGCTCTCAGGCCAAAAAGTTTGCCCACCCTTGGACTAGATGATCACAGCGGTCCCTTCTGACTTTGGAGTCTGTGAAGGCTGCATTTTGCAGTGGCTCCCTGCGTTCTTCCACCATATTTGCAGCCCTTCCTGACCCAGGCAGCCCAAACACTGCAGAGGTGTAGCTGTCTCTGAGCTGTGAATCAGGGCTTGGGGGGAGCATGCTGCAGAGTTACTGGTTCCCTTTCTGCTCTACCTCCCACTCTAGCTTTAGGTCCCCCTGACCTGTGCAGAAATGTAGGGCAGCCCTATGCAGGGAGGGAAGATGTTCATAGTAGGCATAAAACCAAGTGGGGCTTCAGGGTGTACAGGGAAAACTCTGAATCTAAGGGGGAAATCCCCATACAGTTAGTTCTCTGCCCTATTTCCCTGCCTTTTGGGGAATGACAGCCGATCAGAGCTGCTGCACATGCTTAGGGACCAGCTTGTCCATTAGCATGAGAAACAGGCATTGCTCTTGCCAACACAGGGCTGGAGCTTTCCTGGAATGATCCAGCCTTGAGAACAAACAGCCTGCCCTGGCAGAGGGGGAAGAAGTAGCCCTCCTCTCCCAGGGCTTCAGTTACAGCCCCACAAAACCACCTCTTTCCAGGAGTATGGTGAAAAGCCCTCCAGGGCTGCTGCCACTCCCTCAACCACAGATCCTGTAAAGAGGTGTGTTTGGGAACAGGATTGATTAGGATGAGGGATAGCATATGGGGTCAGAATTGATGGAGAGGTAGGACTGACTGAGGACACATGCTGTGCTGGGGAGTTGTGTGGGGGTGAAGGACTGACCAGCAGGCTGTGGAATTAACTGGTGTGTGTGTGTGAGAGCAGAATTAGTTGTACAAAGAACTACAGAATTAATTTTATTGTGGGATGTGTGCATTATGGAATAAATTGTGGGAAGTATGCGTTTGTTCAGGGGGAAGCAGAATTAATTGTTACTCTGATTAAACCAATTCCAGTTTATGCACCTTTAAATTTACTGTCTTTTTATCAGAAGATGCTGGTAAATAAGAATTTAGGTGTCTAACTTTAGGCACTCAAGTTTGAAAATTTGGCTTATGTGACTTGTCTGTTGTTAGGATATAGATTTTCAGGCCTGTCTGTAAAGGCCTGTACTTTAAGAATTTAGGTGTATTCTTATCACTTGTCTAGTTAGAGATATAAAAGAGAGAATCAAAATCACTGTCTGCCAATGTAAGGTCCTTCTCTTACTGTGACAGTCTGGGGCCCTGTTCTTAGGCTAAGGCCTTTGGCTAAGCGACAGAGGCAGCCATAAGCTGGGAAGCAACCGGTCACATCCTCACATTCCAAAGTAGTCACATGGAAAGAAGGTGCTATTGGGCTGTTAGGAATACAATCCTGTCCTGATAGTGCCTATCAGCTCCAGAGAAAGGGAAGTGCCTAGAAAATGTAAAAGAAAACTTAGTTTGATAGCATCCTGTCTGGCAAGAACTCACTTATCAATACTGGGATGTGAAATCCTCACTTCTGTATTGTCTTGCCATTATAGTTCCCACTTTCCTATTGTTTGTCTGTATAATCTCTGTCTGGTTCTGTGATTGTTCCTGTCTGCTGTATAATTAATTTTGCTGGGTGTAAACTAAATAAGGTGGTGGGATATAATTGGTTACAATATGTTAGGATTGGTTAGTTAAATTTTAGTAGAATGATTGGTTAAGGTATAGCTAAGAATATTACTATATAAATTAGGGGCAAACAGGAAGTAAGTTGGGATTCGGAAATAAGGAAAAGGAACTTGTATTTAAGCTTGCTGGAAGTTCACCCCAATAAACATCGAATTGTTTGCACCTTCGGACTTCGGGTATTGTTGCTCTCTGTTCATGTGAGAAGGACCAGGGAAGTAGGAGAGTGAAGGAATAAGCTCTCTAACATCTGTTCGTTCTTCTGCTGCATTCCCTGGAGTTCATTATCTATCATTTTTGTGTAGACCCAAGGGTTTGTGTCATACAGACCAATTATTATTTTATAATCTTTGTTTAAGGTGAAGGAAGAAAAGCTCAGATGTCCTGTGGTTTGCAAATGCCATGCACTCTCACTGGGTTCATCACTCAAAGAGAAAGCACAAAGAACAAGAAAATTGAACCCAGAGGTGCTGTCTGACTTACATCTTTATTAACAAAATTAAAAGCTAATCCCAAATTAACATTATCATTATCCATGGGCCAAAACCAGAACCATTTAGCTGATCCTACCAAACTTTAGAGCACATATAAAATGGGATGTGGATCCAAACCACCGCAATTTTTATTCTGCAAAATCAGAATCTGGCTACTGAGATTTTGAATCTGTCTGTCTTGTAGTTATTTTGATTTGATTGCAGGACTTGATATATTTGATCTGATTGCATTGCAAACTAAAATCATTTGTTTAGATGCAGGGTTTTGGTTCTGGCCCATTGTTTTGCACAGACTGAAAAGTCAAACATGGGGAATAAAAAGCGTTCTAGTTTTTTTTCCTAAGAACTAATAAAGCTATAGGGTGAAATCCTGGCCCCATTAAAGGCAACAGCAATTTTGCCATTAACTTCAGCTGGGCCAGGTTTTCACCCCCGGTCTCTACAGGAAGATTGAAACAAAAAGTACAGGTAGGTTTTTCACAGCACCAGACTCTTAAAAGGAGCAGACACAGATTATCTCCCAGCAATATAGAATTCTGCTTGTTGTTCCCAATATAGCCATGCTTTTATGGCAACTTTTTCTGTTGTGGTTGCTGAATGAGACAGCAAGAGGTAGCAAAGACTGACCCGTTTTACAAGACAGAGGACACTGATGTGACCAAAGGGGAACTGCCCTCCCTACCTGAAACTAACCAGATTTTTCAGTCATTTGTGTTAAAACAAAAGCCAGTCTCCTTTCCCTGTCGTTGTGCACGCACACCAACTGAGAAAGATCTAGATAATATACTGAGAAATGCCTGAACATCAATCACGATACAGTAATTAACCAGACCACATATTGTACAAATGCTTACTCCAAATCCATTTCAGGTGAAGAGAAAATCCAAGTCTGGCATTTTTGCCTGTCACACTCACAGATGAAAAATATTAGCTAAATCAGCATTTAGAGTCTGGCAGACAGAACTCCTACAGTCTGTCAATTCACCTGGAGTCAAGAACTTGAAATGGATTTCTGTGTCCATCCAGCACAGCCTTTGAGTTGTGAGATGAGCCACAACTAAATGATTGTATCCACCTGATACGAAGCCCAGCTCCAGTAGCTGAACTCAGAAGAGCATAAAATGGATCCTCTAATGGAATGTACCAAAAAATATGAATCTCACCCATTATGCCGCTGCAGCCAGGTTTGGGAATAGTTAAAAGTGGTAAGCAGTGGAGGTATCTAAAAAAAATTAAGGAAAATGCAGCAGGAAACATGCTCACCTTTCCCCTTCCAAAGCACCATCATTGCACTCATGGAGAAGGATGGTGGAAACCACAAATAATATTTTGTCCATCTGGGGAAGATGGACTATTCAGCAAGAATACTTACAAGAAAACTATAGGTGAGTGAAATATTATTCCTTCCTTCCTCATCAGTTTGCATCAGCAGCATAGTCCAGGGCAGTTTTTGTGCCTGTGCTGATAAATTTTCATGGAAATTTTGCAAGGCTAAAATTTTCTCTCTGTATATCTGGGAGGAGATTTATTGCTTAGGAAAGCCATTACATTGTCAGCCCTGGGACCTAAATTCCTCTACTTATCTATAGAACAGGGATAGCATAAGTAGCAGTGCAATCTTCCCCAACCCTCACCCACCTGCCTCATTCTTGACTTGGGGGTGACCACCACATTGATAAAGTCATTCAGTATCTGCACCACTTCAGCCTTGCCTGCTCTGATAAGACTGTCAGAAGAGCGGAAATGGTTATTGTGATGTGGTGTTCCACTAGGAACTCAGCTGAGTCATTCTAACTCATTTCAAGTAGACTACCATAGAGCAGCCATTAGACAGAAACAACTATTAGAGCAAGAAGTCCCCCTGCGTGGAGTCAACTACAGGATCAAGGTCTTAATCCCTTTGGAACTGGGTCTTAGATGCCAAACTTTCATTAAAATAAATGGAAGTTAGGGGTCTAAAATCCTTTGTTACTATTATGTTGGATTGGATTTGATCTCAGAGCCTAGAGGTGAAATGCCCCAAATTCTATTACCCATCTCCAGAGTTAACCATTCCTCCTAAAAAGCTACAGGGATTTTTCTATGTGAAATAATTACCTGCTAAAGGAACAGATCTTTGGTAAAAGGTCAACGTTTGAGCTCAATAAATCCAGCCATTTCACAGGTTTCTGCTGTTGCTTCCCTAAATATATAGCCAATTATGTCCTACTAAATATTTTAACGAGTGTAAAAGCTGTCCACTTTTATATCTTGTCCCATATAATTGAAATATCTACTCCGCCGATTTTATGAGGCAGGAATTCATTCCAAGGGATAGAAAATACCAGTGGATTTCCACTGCGTGGGACTGGATATTAAAAACACCCTGGACCCCAAGACTTGGATAGATCAAATCTGGCACAGAAGCATGATGCCAACAGCCACTTGCAATAACCCAAAACTGACTGGCTATCACTATATCCAAAGGCACTCCTGAAATTGGAGTGTATAAAGATCAGAGGATGCCATATGTTTAGTTTCTAAACATGCAGACACACCAGGGGGTGACTGAATTTCCAAGGTGGTTTTGGAGTTGGTAAAACCAGTCATGAGGCTCAGTAAAGAAGCAACCCTTTTTTTTGCAGACATGCCTGTTAAGAATCCAGGGGTCTTTACTCTGTGTTTATCTAGTGCTTACTCATGAAATATTCTCATTGACTTCACTGAGAGTTGTTCCTGGGTGTGGACTGGTTGTGGGGATATGGCCCCCCAAATAACCCCCGGACTGACACTAGCTAGGATAAAAAATAAGGTTCATCAACCCAAATGTTTCAGGGAGCAAGATTATCAACAGGGGAGGAAGACCTACCCCTCCCCCGCCCAGCAGTCCAGCTTTTTCAAGTCTTACGTTTTCCTCCAAGGTCTCTAGACTGAAGCAAGGGTAACTGACTAGATGAAGCACTGGCCCATGGCAGTTTGGCAATTCCCATTGTTTTTTCTATTTGGGGAGAGTGGGAGAAAGGATTCTTCACTGCCCGAGGAAATGAGCAGCAACCAATCCAGGAGCTGGTCCCCAAAGGCTTTCTCAATGCTCTCCTGAAAATAGAAGCTTATGCCCCATTCCCCCTGATGGTGTTACTAGGTGAGCTCAAAGAGTGGCAGTGTGACTAGGTCACCTGCACTGTGTTTGCATATATTAAGTCCCCCATTCCCTGTGGGACTATGGCTATTCCTGACAGCACAAGTTACAAGTTGTAAAGTCTTTTTAAGAGATTAATGTAACCGTAATTCCTTGCAAAGGTCTAATACAAACCAGGTGGGGGAATCCCCTTCACAAGGAGGCTGCTGTTTTTTCAATACAGCTTTCTGGCTGTCATGCCTGAGATTGCTGTCTGGGTGAGCAGGAGGGCAGCAGGGGCTCTGGGTTTGCCAAAGTTATGGGGTGGAGGGTATTTTAAGCGTGAAATTAAGGTTGGTTGGTTGGTTGATTTTCCTAATCCTTGTGGCTTCAGTACAACATCAGCAGGCAGGGTGCTACTGTGGTGCAGCCGGGGCGGTGCTCAGAGATCTCCTGAGGCCTGTAGTCCTGCCCGTCCTATGAGAATCTTTTCCAGGAGCGCCTAAAGGGAGATAGCATGAGAAAGATGGGGTTAGAGCTCTGGAGTCCCACACACCTCCCTGTTACAGCGACAGCATTGGGTTAAAGAATTCCCAGCACCATGTGCAATAGGGGTGGTCCCTGAGCATCATGCAGCCTTGAGGGGCTCCTTCCAAATCCCCAAGGTACAAAGACCTGAACTACAGTAGTTAGGTGCACCTGGGCAGCAATGCTCAGGGGTGGTTTCAGTGGCCTGTACCAGACTTTCACTGGAGCTATAGCAGGAGAGATTGGAAGGACTGGGAGGGTGTAGGGAGAGCATGGAGTGGGAGTTGCACAGCTGTTTGAGGTTGCTGAGGAGCAGGGGAGGAAGGAAAGGAGGAGTCAGAAAGTAAATGGAGGATTGCGAGGAGGTGGGTTGAAGGGAACTCATAAAGGACTTGATCCCTGACTCAGTGACGTCAATGGCAACACACTCAGCGACTGCAGTGGGTAGCTAATCAGGCCCAGAGTCCACATAAATATCTGAACCTTGCAGTGGTTACATGAGTGTGTGCTCAGAAAGGTCAGAGGTTATGGGCTGGATGCAGGAGTCCCTGGGGGAAGTTTTCTGGCTGGCGTTATGCAGGAGGTCAGAGCAGATGATCAGGGAGCTCCCCCGACCTGTACCTGGCTCTCTGCTTCAGGGAAAGCTGGGATGGCTGTTAGACTTGGTCCTGGGAAAGGAGTGGCTCCGCGGTTTGCCAGTGGGCTGAACTCTCACACCACCAACCCGACTGAAGGGAGGAGGCGAACGGTGGGAGAAGGGCAGGGAGGAAACAAAATACAAATTTCCCTCCTGCTTCTGGCTGGGTCCTGGCAGCACTGATTGCAGAGTTGGGGGCTTCTCTTGCTCCCCTATGTTTCACTAGAAAGGATGATTTATTTTTGAAATAATAAAACAAAACAAGTCAAGGCTTCCTCTGTGGTTTTGGGGAAGTAGGTGATGTCAGGCTCATTAATCATGCAGCACTCTGTCATGAGGGGTGGCAGGAACACCCAGCCTGGGCAACTAGAGAAACTTCAATGGTTGAGCTGCAGTTGGTGTCATCACAGGATATAGGCAACTGAAAAGTAATGAAATCTACGCAAAGCAAAATCTCTGAGCTGTTAGGAAACCCCAGAATCAGCACCCTGGGAATATCACAGAAAGAAGGGGTTCAGGCTGCACAGGGCCCAGGAAACAAATCACTCTTTCTGGAACAGTTCTCTCAACTCTTTGTCATTGCCTCGCCCACAGCACTTTTGCAGGAGCCCCTCCTCTCTGATTCTTCCCCTCCACTTCCCTCTTCCTCCTCCAAGCTCTCATTAAGGAGAGACCAGCAAGGATTCAGGCCAGACCACGTCCAGTTGGATATTTCCAGGTTTGTTTTTTTTATTTGTGTATTAATATAGTGATCACGACACAAGGGACCATCAGCCCCAGTAGAGCTGTGCATAGGGCAGTTCCTAGAAGGTGCAAGCTTCCTGACACGTTCCTATCACAGGTTTCAGAGTGGTAGCGATGTTAGTCTGTATCAGCAAAAAGAACGAGGAGTACTTGTGGCACCTTAGAGACTAACCAATTTATTTGGGCATAAGCTTTCCTGGGCTAAAACCCACTTCATCAGATGCATGGAGTGAAAAATACAGAAGGAAGATATATATACAGAGAACATGAAAAGATGGGGGTTGCCTTACCAACTCTATCGAGACAAATCAATTACAGTGGGCTATTATCAGCAGGAGGAAAAATCACTTTTATAGTGGTAATCAGGATGGCCCATTTCAAACAGCTGACAAGAAGGTGTGAGTAACAGTAGGGGGAAAATTAGTATGGGGAAATAAACTAAAAATTATGTAATAACCCATCCACTCCCAGTCCCCACAAGAGATCCACTTCCTGGACACTACAGTTCAAATCAGCGATGGTCACACAAACACCACCCTTTACCGGAAACCTACTGACCGCTATACTTACCTACATGCCTCCAGCTTTCATCCAAACCACATCACACGATCCACTGGCTACAGCTAAGCTCTAAAGACACAACCGCATTTGCTCCAATCCCTCAGACAGAGACAAACACCTACAGGATCTCTATCAAGGATTCTTAAAACTACAATACCCACCTGCTGAAGTGAAGAAACAGATTGACAGAGCCAGAAGAGTACCCAGAAGTCACCTACTACAGGACAGGCCCAACAAAGAAAATAACAGAACGCCACTAGCTGTCACCTTCAGCCCCCAACTAAAACCCCTCCAGCACATCATCAAGGATCTACAACCTATCCTGAAGGACGATCCCTCATTCTCACAGACCTTGGGAGACAGGCCAGTTCTCAATTACAGATAGCCCCCCAACCTGAAGCAAATACTCACCAGCAACCACACACCACACAACAAAAACACCAACCCAGGAACCAAACCCTGCAACGTACCCCGGTGCCAATTCTGTCCACATATCTATTCAAGTGACACCTTCACAGGACCTAATCACATTAGCCATGCCATCAGGGGCTCGTTCACCTGCACATCTACCAACGTGATATATGCCATCATGTGCCAGCAATGCCCCTCTGCCATGTACATTGGCCAAACCGGACAGTCTCTTCGCAAAAGAATAAATGGACACAAATCAGAAATCAGGAATCATAACATTCAAAAACCAGTAGGAGAACACTTCAACCTCCCTGGTCACTCAATAACAGACCTAAAAGTGGCAATTCTTCAACAAAAAAAACTTCAAAAACAGACTCCAAAGTGAAACTGCAGAACTGAAATTAATTGGCAAACTGGACACCATCAGATTAGGCCTGAATAAAGACTGGGAGTCGTTGGGTCACTACAAATCCTAAACCTAATTTCCCCAATACTAATTTTCCCCTACAGTTACTCACACCTTCTTGCCAACTGTTTGAAATGGGCCACTCTCATCAACACTTCAAAAGTTATTTTTCCTCCTTTGGTATCCTGCTGTCAATTGAATTGTCTTGTTAGACTGACCTCACACTTGGTAAGGCAACTCACATCTTTTCATGTATTTATACCTGCTCCTGTATTTTCCACTCCATGCATCTGATGAAGTGGGTTTTAGCCCATGAAAGCTTATGCTCAAATAAGTTTGTTAGTCTCTAAGGTGCCACAAGGACTCCTTGTTCCTATCACAGCATCTCAGTCCTGTCCTGCAAAAGCTCAATAAAGACAATAGACATCTCAGTGATTAGCTGCCCTAGAGATGTCACACTCAGTGTGGAGAGTGCAAATCCTGTCCGCAGCATAGCACCCAGTTTTTAAGTTAGTTGCAGATGCATGGACCTGGCTCACATTCAGAAACTAGTGGTTTGGAAGCAGCTACAGCTGCATCACATTCCTGAATGAATCTGAAATCTAGAAAGTCTCCAGCAAGGCAGCTTAAAGGCTCCGCATACAAGACTGCATCCCAGATTCATTTTCAGGCTATTGTTTGAATTAAAATTGCTATGAATGACTCTAGAGAGGAGGAGAATTAGATTTCATACTATGCATGCTTTTGTATTACCTTCCACACTTCACTCCAGGACACAGCAGCTTTCCTGTCTCCAGTGCTACAAATCTCTGCACCTCCAGGAAGTGAACCACACACACTAGAAGAAAGCATCCCCATCTGTGTAGCAGAAAGTACTGAAGTAACTAGCTGGCTGTGTTACAGTACCACATGCTACACTGCCATCTCACACTCACTGCAGCATCTGCTTATCCTAACACATCTGTGCTTGCCTGTCGGTGTAACAGGAGGGAAATGTATTCCACATGCCAGTGCCCTCAGTCCTGCTCAAACTGAAAGGGTGCGGTTTTGGGTGATGCTAAGAGCTCTATGAAAAGCAGAAATAAGACAGAGAATTGGGCAGGAAGTGAGGTCATCACTTATAAGCCTGGGGCTGTGCTGATGTCATCATGCAACTCAGTGGCAGGAAGTGATATGGGAGCAGGAGTCAAAGAGGAAACCGAATCAAACAACTGAGGTTAACAAACTTGGCATTCATCCTGTGGCATCTCCAGGGACTTTCTAAGAAATCAAGATTGGGTTTGGCTCCCCGACGTCAGTTAGCTTGCTTTGCACGCCAGGTTAAACGCCACCAACGGTAAAGGGATGAGGGTGCAGCTGTGCTGACCGCATGTCAGTGTTAATGACAACTTCTACCTCTTGCTGGTTCCCTTTCCCTACCCACTCAAGGGAAAGCATTAAAGGACCAGTTTCCTGCAAAATTCACTGATGGTAAAACTTCATTCTGCACAAGTCTTTGTGAGAGAAATGGGCTCAAGCTGCAAAGGTCAAATCTGGATTCAAACTTTTCCAAGGGTCTGGTGTATTCAGAACCAAGGTTTTAGCTGTGGCCCATCTCTAAATTTATGACAATGGTATTACTTTTACCCAGCACCATTCATCCTAGAGAATCTCAAAGCACTTTACAATCGGATATACACACTATATGCTAAAAGAAAAGGTGTACTTTTGGCACCTTAGAGACTAACATATTGATCAGAGCATAAGCTTTTGTGAGCTACAGCTTACTTCATCGGATGCATGCAGTGGAAAATACAGCGGGGAGATTTTATATACACAGAGAATATGAAGCTAATGCTCAAATCAATTTGTTAGTCTCTAAGGTGCCACAAGTCCTCCTTTTCTTTTTGCGGATATCGACTAACATGGCTGCTACTCTGAAACCTGACACTATATGCTGCTGTCATTTCATCGACCACTGAAATGTTAGCATCTCTGGTAAAATCCCAGCCACCGTTTAACAGCACACAATACTAACCAAGAGTTTACGACTGGAAGGGGAGAGGAACAGCATACTGGAGGCAGCATGAAGTTATCCAGAATGGAATTTATCCATGACAATAACAACTTCCACACTCTCCTGAAAAGAGCAGAAGAGCCTTCACTCCTATTTTTAAGGCCAGAAGGGACCTCATCTAGTCTGACTTCTTGCATAACACAGCCCAGAGAATTTCATCCAGTGATTCATGCATCAAGCCCATAATTTCTGGTTGATCTTAAATACATCCAAAGTGGCCAGAACCTCAGTCTCATAACTTCTTGGAAAACCAGAAGTACAGTGCTTCCTCTCTCTGCCTGTAACAGCATGCTGGACTATTCAGTACTGATACAGAGGGAAGTGTCATATACTGGCTTTGCATACTGATGCAAAAAGAAAAGGAGGACTTGTGGCACCTTAGAGACTAACCAGTTTATTTGATCATAAGCTTTCGTGAGCTACAGCTCACTTCATCGGATGCATACTGTGGAAACTGCAGAAGACATACTGATGCAGTGTTCCTTGGAGGTCTTGCATTCAAGTACTGACACACACAACACTGCTTAGTTTCTAAGATCCAGCAGAGTCCTAGCATATGGTGTTATAGATGCTGGGATATATACATGGTTTACTGCAAGGATGGCTGTATATTTTAACTGTGTGTAATTCTGTGTATCTAATCCCAAACCTCCTGTGGCAGGCGGTGAATTAGAATTCAGGTCACTGCTCTCTTGGGAATATCCTTCCTGAGTTTCTTTCTCCTGGATCAGTAGCTGAGGCTGTAAAGAAAAAACAAACAAACCACCAACAAACAACACAGAAATCATGTCAGAGAAGATAAAATACAACCAAACGAATTAGATCCGAACAAAAAAATCTTTAATTAGTGCCTTTTAAACAATTAGCTGTGCAGGAGTGAGGACAGGCCAATCTTCTCAGCCTGTGCCCATGCTGGCTGTATGTGCGCATGCACTCAATGTGTATTGTGTGTGGTGTCAGGATGTGTTCCTGTGGTATATGCGTATGTGATGTCTGAGAGTGTGGAAATGGTTGTTGAAGGCATTCAGTTATTATGCTATTTGTGAGGGAGGCAGCCCCGCAGCCTGTGCAATGTCGGTTTAGTGGGGAACACTCTCACCTATGATGCAGGCGCACAAGACAGCAAACCAGCAATTCCAGCCTGCCTGTGGAATATCAGAAATAGAAATCGATTGCAGTCTATGAAACTAGAGGGTAGCCATTCAGCTCTGCTCTCGTCTCATTTCTAGCCCATTTAACCCATTTGCAGATGAAAAATAAAGAGGACCGTATGTGCACCAGTGTGCTGGATTTACAGAAAGTTTGATACTCATATCAATTTACCATAGATCCTGAAACTATCAAGATAAACCCATTGGTCTATTCCTCCTTGATGCTTTATATCACACTGAGGATAGTAAAGGATGGCATCACAATAGGACACAAGCCACTGATCAGATTTCACTATCAGTATGCATAGATTCCAAGACCAGAAGGGACCATTGCCCAGGGGTGGGCAAACTTTTTGGCCTGAGGGCCACATCTGGGTATGGACATTGTATGGTGAGCCATGAATGCTCATGAAATTAGGGGTTGGGATGCAGGAGGGGGTGAGGGCTCTGGCTGGGGGTGCAGGCTATGGGATAGGGCCAGGGATGAAGGCTTTGGGGTCCAGGAGGGGGTTGGGGGTGGAGCAGAGGGGCTCAGAATAATGGAGGGGGCTCCAGGATGAGGCAGGGGGTTGGGGTGTGGGAGGGGGTATGGGCTCTGGGCCGGGGGTGTGGGTTCCAGGGTGGGGCCCGGGGGCTCTGGGCCGGGGCTGAGGGGTTCGGAGTGCAGGAGGGGGCTCCAGGATGGGGGAAGGGGGTTGGGGTCTGGGGCGGGGGGTGAGGGCTCTGGCTGGGGGTGCGGACTCTGTGGTGGGGCTGGGGATGAGGGGTTTGGGGTGCCGGAGGGGGCTCCAGGCTGGGATTGAGGGGTTTGGAGGGTGAGAGGGGGATCAGGGCTGGGACAGGGGGTTGGGGCACGGGAGGGGGTCAGAGGTGCAGGCTCCGGGCAGCGCTTACCAGAAGCAGCGGTATGTCCCCACTCTGGCTCCTATGTGGAGGCGCAGTTAGGCAGCTCTGCACACTGCCTGGTCTGTGGGCACTGCCCCCGCAGCTCCCATTGCCATGGTTCCTGGCCAATGGGAGCTGCAGAGCCTGTGCTTGTGGTGGGGGCAGTGTGCGGAGCCCCCTGGCTGCCTGTACGCATAGGAGCCAGAGTGGGGACATGCCGCTGCTTCCGGGGGCCGCATGGAGCCACGGCACATGCAGAGCGGTGCAAGCCCCTGACCCGGCTCCCTGGCGGGAGCTCGAAAGCTGCATTAAAAGGTCTGACAGGTTGGATGCAGCCCGTAGTTTGCCCATCCCAATCTACTTTGACCTTCTGAACAACACAGGCCACAGAGCTTCCCCCAAATAATCCCTTTTAAACTAGAACATATCCTTTTTCTTTTTTTTTAAAGGCATCCAATCTTGATTTAAAAATTGCCAGTGATGGAGAATCCACCATGACATTTGGCACATTGTTCCAATTACCCTCACTTAAATATTTACACCTTATTTCTAGCTTCAGTTTCCACCATTGGATTATGTTCTACCTTTGCCTGCTAGATTATAGAGCCCATTATCAAATCTTTGTTCCCCATGTAGGTACTTATGGAGTGATCAAGTCACCCCGTAACATTCTCTTATGAATTGGTTGACTTGCACCTGTGCTCTAGTTTCCTCCCTTGCTGGTTCTTCTGTGCACCATGGTACTCTAACTACTAAGGATGCTTCATGGAAAGAGGGCTCCTAGATACCACTGTGTCAGGGGCTTAGGTCCAAACATCAGGCTGACCCCAGCTCCTGGAGTCCTATTAGCATTTTACAGGTGTTCATTAAACACCAAAAGGCATTGTGCTTTACCCACCTGGGCTGTAATTTAATCCATTTTCATAAGCTAAGGAAGAGTTGGGCCAGGTCAGTACGTGGAAAGATGACCTCCAAGGAAGAAACAGGAGATGCAGGAAGTAGTAGTGGTGGCTTAGTAAGGATTTCTGTCAATACTAAGCCAGTGGCCCTCTATGGCACCAGGGAGAGCTGCGCTGCAGGATAAGATGTAAAATTGAGGTCCTGGCCAATTGTGGTCATTAAACATCCCATGGCACTTTTTTCAAGAGCAGCGGTGTAAACCACAAATTCCATCTTGGGAAACTATATTTTACCTCCCTGGATTGCCCTTATAGTTTTATATGCATAAAGTCTCTTTCCTTTCCTCCTCTCCTAAAACTCTTGTGTAATGTTGCTGTGTTCTGTTAAATGCCTGCTCTATTCCACCCAGTCTCATCCTCGGCACTGAAAGAGGCAGGGGTCCTGTCGAAAAAAATAGTATGGGATCAGATAATTAAAGACTGTATCATAATGCATCGGCACAAAGGAACAAAATTTGAGTTGCACAGGCATCCTTAATGCTGGCATTCCTAATTTTGGGGTGTTTGACTTTGCAGCTGTAATGTCCTTTTAACTAGAGCTGGTTCAAATCAGAATTTCTGTCCTGTAGAAATGGCGATATTGTGAAATTTGGTTTCAGCTGGAATTGGGACGGAAAAGTGAAATATCACAGAACAGTAAGTGCAAAAAAAAGGTTGATTCAAAACCTTTCATTTCAACATTGCTGAATCGAACTCTTTCATTTTGGTTTGTTGAGCCTGTTGAAATGTTTTGTTTGAGGTTGGTTCAGCATTAATCTGTGCCTGCATCAGCTGCTATGGTGTCTCATAGACGTTTCAATTCAAGGTCTCCCTATTCTCCTCTGTGGGCTGGCGCTCTCTGGCTGGACCACATCTTCATGATGGAAATGCATGGTTACGTTAACTCCCATGATGCATCACATCATTTCAGCCAGAGAGAAGACTGTGGTGCATAATGGGAGATGCAGTCTCGTCAGGGAGTCTGGCCCATAGAGAAGAACACGGGCAGGAAGCACCTGAACTACCGTCTCCCATGAGACACTGCATCAGCGGACACAGACTAACACCGAACTGCCCTGACACAAAACTTTTTGATTCAATTTGAGCTGAAAATGTTCTGATTTGGGTCAACCCAACCCAAAAGGATCTATTTTGTTTAGATTTTTCTGATGGGAAATAAAAAAAAATTCCCTGAGGGGAAATTTTCAATTTTGTGAAAACCAATTTCCAATGAAAAAACATTGGTGGAAAATTCCCAACCAGCTCTACTTTTTAATGTAGTTTTTTTTGTGATGTAATACATAAAAATGTGAACGGATGTTTTAGCTGTCAAAGGACAGTGCAAGGCTATGCCACATAGGGACAATTCTTTATTTTACTTGGTTTTGTGTTCAAGAACCCTCGGTAACTGTATTTGGATACTCGCTGCCTTTTCTGTCTGTCTGAGGTAGTTAGTTATATGGTCCTCATTAACATGGTATCTTAGTGTCTCACAAGCTTTAATATGTTTATCCTCATAACACCCCTGAGAGGCAGGGCAGGACTGTTATCCCCATTGTACAGATAGGGAAACTGAGGCACAGAGAGACAGACTGACTTACCCAAAGTCACACAGGAAGTTTATGGCAGAGCAGAGAAATCAGGCCCCAAACTAGTGCCCTAACTGTTGGACAATACTTCCTCTGCTGGAACAACCTTTTCTGCCTAGCTCAATTATTTCATGTTGGAAGAATGTCTTAGTCCTTCTCTCTCAGTTCTTCCTACTCCTCCTCACCTCACTTTCTCTTTAGAGCCCCAGGGAGATATCCATATGCCTTTAAACTCATGCCTGGCTGCCCTCCCCTCCACCCATTGCACTTCAAATGCCACCTGGGGTGATCCTGGTCTCTACCCATGTCAGGCACACTGAACAGTTGCGAAGTGGGCTGAGAATCATGGCTAAGCCAGTCTCCTTCCTACATGTTAGTGTCAGTTTAACCACAGGGCAGACTGTGCCAGCAGGTGTTTGACAGCTGGTTAGTGCTTACCCCCCTCCCGTCTAAGTCATGCTCTTTAGGGAGCCTCAGCTTTCTGTGTATTTACTTGCTTAGATTTCTGCAGCTCTATAATAATAGTGCTTTCCAACTGCTGCTAAACTCATTGCTCAGATAAACAGAGGCATCACTATCATGATGACAATGTTTCATGCACTCATCCCAACAGAGACCCACCAGAGCTCCGCTCACACAAGTATCCAGCCTCACCTATCTTCTTACTGACCTAGGAGAAAAGATGCGTCTTGTGGCAATAACTAGAGATGAACCAACTCAGATTATTACAGACCAATGGGTAAATTTATCAGGAGTATAAACCAACCACCACTAACTCTCATCAAGGATTGGCAGCTTCTCCCTTTGCATACACCTACTGTAGCTTGATGGTAACACAATTCACGGGCATAGGACACCTTTGTCTATCCCCCTTGACTGAGACCCCTTTTGCCTCCTATACCTCTTCTTAGAAGTTCAAGTTTGCTGCCTTCAAGGCCAGACTGCTTGGAACACCCATATGACAACAGATCTCCTTAAAACTACAAGTGGTGAGAATAAGAACAGAGAAAATGGAATTTAAACAAAAGAAATGTTTTGCTTAACAACCCTCAATTTACACTTCTCAGAAGCTGAACTAGCTGCTGCCTTCTCAGCTCAGTTACAGAGAAGAAAAGGCACCCCTGTGTATTTAAAGAGCAATTACCTTCTCCGGCCTCCCCTGTCATGCTGGACTAGAAAGAGTTTCCACCACCCTGTTTATCAAGTATCCTGAGGTCATCTTCTATCCCCCCAAACATTTTTTTCTGCCAACCTCCCCAGCCAGGTTAACCCCCAGGGGAATCTCTCTCTTCCCAAGTTTCAAGTTCAGCAGCTTACAAATCATTCTGAAGTTCCTACCTGTGTTTGTACAGCACCTAGCACAAGGGGAACAAGGTCCATGACTAGGACTCCTAAGCACTACAGTGATCACCTCCCCCACCCCCGACCTTTCATCTGTCCCAGAAGGACTATCGATGTACTCCTCAGCTAATCTGCTTGCTGTGTACAGAGTTTTGGGTTTCCGATCCATGAGTTACACTTTCAACTCCTGAGCGCACAGCATATAAAACTGTTCCATTTCAATCAGCCCAAAGGCCTCTTCTGTTGTGATGAGTCCTCTCCCATATACCCATCTCCTCCAAACTGAGCAGCAACTTCAGAATACCCCTCAATACCCTGCTTCCAAGCTCCCTGAAATTTCTTTCTGTATGAGTCACAGGTCTCTTCAAATTTCTGCAGCAAAGTGGTTTTAAACTTGTCATTCAAACAGTCTTCACTGGCCATTGAGATCATGCTGCTAACATTAACCATTCGGTAAGGGAGCTAGAAACTGCATCTTATCCACAGCAGCTACCCAGTTCAGTGTGCACCTTCATTCAAAGCCTTTAGAAAACATAGATGGTACCACCTTCTTTATGTTTAGGAAACAGCTCAAGAGCTACATTGCCTGTGGAATTAGATGTGTGATTTCTATCTCCACTTACCCAATAGCTTAGCCTCTGGCTGTGCAACCACTCAGTGACCACTTCATGATAATGCCGTCTGTCATGTTCTCCCTTCTTATGTTGGCATTTTAATTCCTACTCCACACACTATCTTTCCTGCAGCTGTAGTCACTTTGTCTCCAGCTGGTCTTTCTTCCACTCCCAGACCCATTTGCCCTGAGCACTCTGCCCAGGTGATGCTCTGCTGTTCTTCCTGTCACTGCAGACATTCCATTCATCCTCCAAGCTCCCTGCTGAGGTCTCATCCTCCACCTTGGATTCTCCAGCTTCTCCTGGCCTGCTGTGGCCCTGGTCTCCCTCAACTTCCTCAGGCCCTGACCTGGCTCCTGGCACTGGCTGTGACTGGTTCCTCCCTTGCGAGGTTTCTCCATTCTCTGCAGTTCCTGAGCCTCCATTTGGCTGCATGTGACCATGGATACAACACTTGCTTTTGTTGGTTGCTGAAGTTGCTAAAGTAGTTTTCTTTCCCCACACAGCTCTATTGCTACTCCTCCTTTAACATCTCGTAGCTCACCTCCTCCTTCTGCCTTTTCCTAATCTTAACCCAAAAAGAAAATAAGTATAGAACAGATTTTCTTTCCCCCCTCTATAATTCTTGTTTTTTCACCTGTTGCTTCTTATGAGTTTTCACCACAGCCAGACCCAATATGCTGCTATCACTGCAAACCAAACACTACCTCCAACTCCCATCACCTAGGTCCTTCAGCCTCACCCCTTGCGTTTGCCTGCCATAGCCTGAAGGCCACACAACTCAATGGGATAGGACACCTTTGTCCATGGCCCTTGACCAAGACTGGGAGGAGAGCGTAAGTTCCAGAACTCCTTTTGCCTTCTGTACCCTCCTTAGAGGTTGCTCCCTTCAGGGCCAGGGCTAAAAGCCCCACACAACAGTGGATTTCCTTAGAATTAGAGGCATTGAAAGTAAAAAGAGAGAAGAGGAAATTAAAACAGAAGAAGTGTTTAGAGTATTGCCTCTGGATTTACACTTCTCACAAGCTGAACTAGATGTGGCCTTTTCTCAGCTGGATGCCAGAGAAGAAAAGGCCATTTGATATGTAAATAGCATTTCTCTTCTCTGGCCTTCCCTGTGGGAGATTCAGCCCTGAGCTATGTCCAGAGGACATTCCTCCCTCACGAACTGTTTGTCAAGTGCTTCCTCCTAGGAGTACTGTATTAGGGGAGGTTTCAGAGGAACAGCCGTGTTAGTCTGTATTCGCAAAAAGAAAAGGAGTACTTGTGGCACCTTAGAGACTAACCAATTTATTTGAGCATGAGCTTTCGTGAGCCACAGCTCACTTCATCAGCAAGGGGAGCTCACCTTGCAATCCTTCCAAGTTGTGGCACTTCCCCCATGGGAATTCCCTCCCTCCAAGCCTCAAGTGCAGCCCTTCATTGGTTGCTCTGAAAGAAGCCAATGAACCTATCTGGCTTATATGTTTATCATGGGTCTATCCATTGTTCTGGGGATAGGTATCAGAGCATGACTTCAGTCTGGCTTCAGTGGAGTTTTTTAATCCTATCCTCCCTCCGTACTTATCTTCCTTGGTTATAAATATATATTATTGATGAATCAGATCATCTGTCACAGGAAGGGTCTCAACTTGGACCAGTCTGGTCAAAGCCATAAGAAGGCTTGGGAGTAGGAAGCTTGCAGAACTGATTTAACGCAGCATTAGTTTCTGACACAAGTTTCCCCTCATGCCTGTGGGTTCCCTGAGCTCCAACTCCCATCTCCCACAGCCTTCTTATTACATTCTTAGGGAGGAATTCCATGGGCATCATCTTCTGAGTTCATAGATTTTAGGGCTGGAAGGATGCACTGTGATCATCTAGTACAGTGGTCTCCAAACTTTTTACGCCCAAGATCACTTTTTGAATTTAAGGGCAACCCAGGATCTACCCCGCCCCTTCCCCAAAGCCCCGCCACTCACTCCATCCCCCCCTCTGTCCATCACTCGCTCTCCCCCACACTCACTCACTTTCACTGGGCTGGGGTAGGGGTTTGGGAGGGGGTGCAGGCTCTGGGATGGGGCAGAGGGGTTTGCAGTGTGGGAGGGAGCTCTGGGCTGAGCCTGGAACAGGAGGTTTGGGTGCAGGAGGGGGTGAGAAGTGCAAGCTCTAGGAGGGAGTTTGGGTGCAGGAGGGGGCTCTGGGAGACTGTATGGGCTGCTGGCTCTGAGAGGGGGCTCAGGGATGGGGGTTGGGGTGTGGCCTCCTGCCGGGCAGCACTTACCTCTGGTGGCTCCTGGTCGGTGGCAGGTGCAGCAAGGCTAAGGCAGGCTCCCTGCCTACCCCGGCCCCACGCCTCTCCCAGAAGGGGCCAACGCACCCCTGTGGCCTGGGATGGGGGCATGTGTCTCCTCGTGCTGCCCCTCTCTGCAAGCACCACCCTCACAGTTCCCATTGGCCACAGCTCCCTGTTCCCGGCCAATGGGAGCTGCGGGCACGGTGCTTGCAGGCAGGAGAAGTGTGCGGAGGGAGACCCCTGCCCACAAACCCCCCAGCCCCGGGCCATGAGGTGTGCTGGCTGCTTCTGGGAGCAGAATGGGACCAGGGTAGGCAGGGAGCCTGTCTTAGCAGCAGCCACACTGCGCCGCCAGAGATCGCAATCGACTGGGAGGTCCTCTAGGATTGACCAGTCGATCGCGATAAACTGGTTAGTGACCACTGATCTAGTCTGACCTCCTGCATAACAGGTCACAGAATTTCACTCACAGATTCCTGCAACTAGCCCATATCTTGTGGTTGAGCTAGATCATTCTGTTTAGAAAGACACCGCATTTTTACTTAAAGACGTAAAGTGAAGAGAATCCACCATATTCCTTGGTAAATTGTTCTAACAGCTAATTACCCTCTTTGTTACAAATGCACATCTTCAGGCTAGAAATAAAGCATCTAGCTTCATCTTCCAGACCTTGGGTCTCTTTATGTCTTTGTCTCCTAGATTAATGAACCCTCTGCTGTCAGAGTTCTAGGTTTCTCACTCCAGTGACCTTCTCTTTCCCTTGAATTCTAAATTCCCCTTTTGAAATGAACCTGAAATCTATGAATCCCTCTTACTCCATCAGAATTCCCAAGGAAAGCACAGTTCTTGCTGAGAAACTCAGGAATCTTTGCTTTTGAAGCATCAGGAATAGGGAGTGGAAGAGAGTTGCTTCCTGAATTAAGTGTAACATATTGCCAGAGGTTCTTGAATAAGAATGTTTTTGCAGCATGTTCAGCCCCTGGGGGTGGCAGGGGAGAGGAAGGAGGAAGAATCTTGCTCTCCTATCTGGCCAGGTCAGTGCTCAAGACCCAAAGAAGGTTGCATCAGGGCTTCCTAGGCTGAAAGAGCATCAGCACAGCTAAGAAGCTTGAGAAGAGGAGCAGACCAGAAAGATGGGGGATCCTCTGGGCTTTGAGAGAAGGAACTCAAGGAGAAGGAACAAAAGAGGATTTTGATGTCATTGTACTTACCCACTTTCGGGGTCTCCCTCTTGGTCTTTTCTCAGCTGAAGATTCTACCTTTAGTTATAACAAAAGACATGATCTAGTCCTCTTTCATAACTTATTGCACTTGTGATCAACACATTAAGGCCATGTCTGCATTACAGTGGCACAGCTATAACATTGTAGTGCCATGCTGTAGATGCTTCCTACAGCAATGAAAAGGGTTTTTCCATCACTGTAGGAACCCCACCTCCCCAAGTGATGGTAGTTGGGTCGACAGAAGCATTCTTCAATTGATCTAGCTGCATCTACACCATGCGTTGGATCAGCATGGGTACAGCACTCGGGTGTGTGTGTGAATTTTTCATAGTGACAGTGTTCAGAGATGTGAATTTTTTTACACCCCATAACACTGTAGCTATGTTGCCCTAACTTTTAAGTGTAGGCGAGGCCTAAACTTGGTCAGGGTGACTTCATTTTAAAGTCTTCCTGTGTGACTGCGGATTATGATTAGGAGTATACTAACTAGGAGGAGGTGGCAGGGTCTTAGGAGGAAGAGGAGAAGGCAAATAGTGGTGATGACCTGGTAGAGACAGAGGAAGCAGAGGAGGTTGCTGGCCAGGCATCAGAGAGGAGGAGGACAGGCAGACGTGGATTAGGAGCAGGCAAATTAGGATTAAGACTAGGACACCTAGAAGGAGGAGCTCTATGGGAAGGAGGACTTGGGAGATGACTAAACAGATGAAGCAGAAGACGGAGGCAGCCTAGAGGAGGATATCAACCAGGCAGAATTGGAGGATGTCAGAGGAGTAGGCAAATTAGGATGAAGACAAAAACAAGTAGGAGGAGGCGGAACCAGGAGGTGGAGACTTAGGAGAAGGACTGGGCAGTGGAAGCGGAGGCAGTGGACTGAGGGAAGGAGGAACATGATTAGGAGGCACAGAGTGCCAGATGGGGACTACGGTGTAGGAGAAGCACGAGGAGGAGGAAAGACACAGTGGAAGAGGAGAAGGATGAGGAGGAGGACCACCACTAGGAGGAGTAGGGTGAGGAGGAGGATAACTATGACTAGGAGGACAATTAGGATGAGGAGGAAGATGATGCTGAGGCTGACAATGACTAGGACGAAGAAAAGAAGGAGGCAGCCCTTTGGGTGCCAGAGGCTTAGTGTGAAAAGGCTTAGGATGACTACAAAGAGGACTAGGCAGGGCTGACAAAAAGGGAGAAGGATGAAGACGACTAGGCAGCAGCAGATGATAGAGGACAATCAGTGGTGGCAGACAGAGTGCAGAGGGTGATGATGTAATGGTAACAGTGGGAGAGGAGTGTAAAGTTTGTCAGAGCTTAAAGACTTAAACAAAACTGAAAAAGGAGATGACACAAACTGCCTGCCTTTAAATGAGAGAGCGCCTCTCTCGTGCTCTCCCAGCAAAAGCCTGGAGGAGAGAAGGATTTGCTTTCTGGTGAGCTCTGCATCCTCCCATAAGCTGAGCACGTGCCATGGTCTCTTACCGTCTGCCCATCGCGGGCATTCCGTTTTTTGCTTCCTTTTGGCCTTCCTCGTGGTTTCTTTAGGGGCAAAGGTCCCAGAAGCTCCTGCTTGGACAAAAAGAGGGTAACTGTTACTCTGACACTCTGAACACCAAGCAGTCAAACGATAACTTCAAGTATGTAGCCCAGTGTATTTCCTGCTGCGGCCCGTGGACCAAGAGCGGCACCCAACACACTTGCTGGTGTTCCACAGAGTGCTGGCTAGTCACATGGCACTGGCTCTGCTCCTTGTTTCCAGTGGCTAAACTGCATTAGAAGACAGTTAAAGTACATTTGCAGAACATACAGTATCCAGGGAAGAAGGAGGGCCCAGTGGTGAGGGTGCTAGCCTGGGACTTGACCACAGGGGTTCAATTCCCCACTCTCTACCACAGGCGTCCTATGCGACCTTGGGCAAGACACAATCTCTCTGTGCCCCAGTTCCCCATCCTACCTCACATGGTGGTTGTGAGGTGCTCTGATACTACAGCAATGGGAGTCAGAGACATTCTCAAGATAGATACATACTTTCCTGTGCTAAAAATTGCTAAAAGGATGTTATGCAGCTGGGAATAGGAGGTGTCCCTTGTGCCCCCCCTCCCCCCGAAAGCATGATAGAACTCCTGATGTAACCCCTAAAGGTTCCCAGGAAAGTATACACCTTATACCGGCTGCAAGGGATCACACGTTCTAGAGCTAAAATGCAGCCACTGCTGGGTATGGAACACAGCAGCACTACAGAACAGTGCAGGACAGCGAGCAAAGAACACCTGCTCCAATTTAAACTGCCGAGGGAGTTCAGGAAGTAGTTACCTGAATTGGAATTTTGCCAACACACCAGGGTTAACTTCTCAACTCTCGCTGAAAGTACCAAGGGACCACAAGCAGTTAGGAAGCCCTTGATTTTATGTCACCTCTGAAAGACAGTGCATCTAAGCAGCACAGTGCCACCTATTCAGTACTGACTCAGAAGGCATCTTGCTTTCACTGGATCAGTACCCACAGGAGAATAAAGCTTTATAGAAGCATAGAAAGGGAAGAAGAGAGAAAAAGTATTTGGTTGTATAAAGCAAACCTATATGAATTGGCACATGCACAGGAATTGGCTCACATTCTGTGGGTTCCTTATTTAAACTCTGATGGAAAAAAGTAAAAACAAGCAGGGTTCTTTGTTTTAAGTTTGTAAATGAGGAGAGTGTGAGATGTATTATGTTGAAAGCCCTGGAGGCAGAAGTCCTCTGTTTATCCATAGGACAGAAGCTGTACAAGCTCTCTCTTCCCCTCCCTATTAATATGCCTTGGTCCTGCCCTGAAAGGCTGACCTCTATGGAGAGAAAGCAATTCAGCTATGTGATGCATAACCATGTTATGGTCCACTAAGAAGTGGATTTAGGCCTCAGACTCATTTCACACAAGCTACCAAACAGCCATCAGGTGCTACTGGCTTTCCATCACTCGTGACCTGATCTCAGTTGGAACCACCATGACCAAGACATGAAAGGATCTATACAAATCCCATTCTGAGCCTTCTAGGAGCCACCCACCTACGTAGATAGCTATAAGGAATTCACAACATGTCAGCTCAGTCATCAACTTAAAACAATCCTTTTCAATAATTGCATTTTTTTCAGAGTAGCAGCCGTGTTAGTCTGTATCCGCAAAAAGAACAGGAGGACTTGTGGCACCTTAGAGACTAACAAATTTATTTGAGCATAAGGTTTCGTGGGCTACAGCCCACTTCATCAGATGCATTGAATGGAACATATAGTAAGAAGATATAGATATATACAGATATATAGATAAAGATATATACACATACAGAGAAGGTGGAAGTTGCCATACAAACTGTAAGAGGCTAATTAGTTAAGATGAGCTATTATCAGCAGGAAAAAAAAACTTTTGTAGTGATAATCAAGATGGCCCATGTAGACAGTTGACAAGAAGGTGTGAGGACACTTAACTTAGGAAAAAGAAAAGGAGTACTTGTGGCACCTTAGAGACTAACCAATTTATTTGAGCATGAGCTTTCGTGAGCTACAGCTCACTTCATCAGATGTTTACCGTGGAAACTGCAGCAGACTTTATATACACACAGAGAATATGAAACAATACCTCCTCCCACCCCACTGTCCTGCTGGTAATAGCTTATCTAAAGTGATCAACAGGTGGGCCATTTCCAGCACAAATCCAGGTTTTCTCACCCTCCACCCCCCCACACAAATTCACTCTCCTGCTGGTGCTAGCCCATCCAAAGTGACAACTCTTTACATAATCAAGTCGGGCTATTTCCTGCATAGATCCAGGTTTTCTCACATCCCCCCCACCCCCATACACACACAAACTCACTCTCCTGCTGGTAATAGCTCATCTAAACTGACCACTCTCCAAGTTTAAATCCAAGTTAAACCAGAACATCTGGGGGGGGGGGTAGGAAAAAACAAGAGGAAACAGGCTACCTTGCATAATGACTTAGCCACTCCCAGTCTCTATTTAAGCCTAAATTAATAGTATCCAATTTGCAAATGAATTCCAATTCAGCAGTTTCTCGCTGGAGTCTGGATTTGAAGTTTTTTTGTTTTAAGATAGCGACCTTCATGTCTGTGATTGCGTGACCAGAGAGATTGAAGTGTTCTCCGACTGGTTTATGAATGTTATAATTCTTGACATCTGATTTGTGTCCATTTATTCTTTTACGTAGAGACTGTCCAGTTTGACCAATGTACATGGCAGAGGGGCATTGCTGGCACATGATGGCATATATCACATTGGTGGATGTGCAGGTGAACGAGCCTCTGATAGTGTGGCTGATGTTATTAGGCCCTGTGATGGTGTCCCCTGAATAGATATGTGGGCACAATTGGCAACGGGCTTTGTTGCAAGGATAAGTTCCTGGGTTAGTGGTTCTGTTGTGTGGTATGTGGTTGTTGGTGAGTATTTGCTTCAGGTTGCGGGGCTGTCTGTAGGCAAGGACTGGCCTGTCTCCCAAGACTTGTGAGAGTGTTGGGTCATCCTTTAGGTGGGGTGGGAGGAGGTATTGTTTCATATTCTCTGTGTGTATATAAAGTCTGCTGCAGTTTCCACGGTAAACATCTGATGAAGTGAGCTGTAGCTCACGAAAGCTCATGCTCAAATAAATTGGTTAGTCTCTAAGGTGCCACAAGTACTCCTTTTCTTTTTGCGAATACAGACTAACACGGCTGTTCCTCTGAAACTTAACTTAGGGAAACAGATTCAATATGTGTAATGACCCAGCCACTCCCAGTCTCTATTCAAACCCAAGTTAATGGTATCTAGTTTGCATATTAATTCAAGCTCAGCAGTTTCTCGTTGGAGTCTGTTTTTGAAGCTTTTCTGTTGCAAAATTGCCACCCTTAAATCTTTTACTGAGTGGCCAGAGAGGTTGAAGTGTTCTCCTACTGGTTTTTGAATCTTACGATTCCTGATGTCAGATTTGTGTCCATTTATTCTTTTGCATAGACACTGTCCGGTTTGGCCAATCTACATGGCAGAGGGGCATTGCTGGCACATGATGGCATATATCACATTGGTAGATGTGCAGGTGCATTGTTTGTGTATGTGAAACTAAAGTCCTGTCCCTGTGGCCTGACTCACTAACATCTCTCTCCAGAATTCACCCTGTCTATGAAACTTACAAAAATATCAGATGTTTGCCTTCCTTTCTGACCTATTGTCGGATTCCTAGTCTTAAAAAAAAAAAGTGTCTCATTCATGCCTAAGTATAATAATCAGTTTGTATACAGGGCTCACAGATGTGGGATGACAAGTTTGTCCGGCCATGATGAGGACTTTTTCTTTTAAAAGGGGAAGGAAGGGGAAAAAGGAAAATAAATACAAGAGCTATCAGGAAAGTGACACAAATAAAGACAATGAAGATGATATCAGAAGGCACGTGTTGATTTCAGTTCCATGTTCTCAGTTGTTACTGTTCTGGAACCTCACTCACTATCTGAACATGCTGAGGGTCCTATTCTTAACTTGTGCGCTCAAAGTGATTTTCAAATTCATAATGGTGCTGCACCAGATTTTACCTTTCATTTATCCATTATACCTGAGACACTCCCATTTTTGGAGGGTTTCATGGATTAATATTTCTGTATTTGCTTCATGAGGGTTATTCTGAGAGCACACTATGAGCTTAACAGAGTATACAGCTGGTGAGGTGAGGCACAGGCTGCATATATGTAGACTTGGTAGAATTCTTTTTGTGTGTGTAATTTTGATGGATATATCAGTTTATTTTAAGCATTTTTTCTATTTATATAGATTTTAAATTTTCATAGTTGCAAAAAATTATGGGTTTTAAGAATTTTTTAATGGATTTAAATGTTCATAGTTGTGGGAAATTATGCTGGGGGGGTGTCCGACAATAAATATTTAATGACCGTCAATGTTGAGATTCAAAAAGTTATAAAGCTTTATAACTCTTCAAACACAAATTGCATGGCAAACTATACCAAGTAAATATCCTTAAGTCAAACACTAATAAATTCTCAAGCAGCATTTTTCTTACTTTGCCTATCTGCAAATTTCAGTGATCACTGATGGAAATATTTTTTCATTGATTTGTGTGCGTAGGGTGAAATCTACATTTACTGACATTTAGCTATAAAAATCTAATCCTTCCAAGCCTACATATAGGTGTGTGCATAGACAGAAGGATGCCTTAGCATCTGTGGGTGTCACAGATTCACAGAACTCGTGCTGTCTCTCGGCTCCATACAGTCCCTGGGAGGAACCCCCTTCAGTGTGACAGCCCTTTTCCGGGGTCCACTCTCTCAGGGGTTAAGCTGTAGGCTCCTCCGCTTCCTGGAACCGCACCTCTCTGAGCCTTCAGCACACTTGTCTCTCACCGTGGGCCCCCTCAGGGAGGCCACTCGCTCTGGACCCCCAGGGCCTCCATTCCCAGAGGGAATGATGCAACCCTGATCTCTAGACTGGAGTGACTCTCAGCCAGCATAAAACAGAAGGGTTTATTGAGCATCTGAACACAGCACTGGAAACTTCTGGGCCCTCGGGCCTAACAACCCTCAGCACAGTACATCTTGGTCTCGCCTGTATCCAGGTGGGCTCTGGCTGCTCTCTTTCCCCAGTCCAGAAGCCCACTCCTTCCAGCCGATCATCCTATATCACCTCCCACAACAGTTCCTCCCCTGTCCTTTGTCTTTGGTCCTAGGTAAATAGGTCATCTTAGCCCTCTTTCTTCCATCCTTCGTTCCCACTGGCTGGACCTGGCTGGTCAGGTCACCAGGGTCCTCTCTCCTCATCCCTTTGTCCTCCCACTGGCTGACTGCCAAGCTGGGGTGGGCCTCCTGGTCACCAGGTCACCGGTTGCTAGGGTCCCCCATATCCAGGCAATTGTCCGGGGTCCTTGCTGCTAAGCGAGGTCACACCTGGTCCTCTGCAACAACAAACTCCCTCTCCCACCACCTCGTTAAACACACAGCACACAGGGAAACTAAGATCCACACAGTATTCATGCAAAACACTAAAAAAATTCTCCACTTCGTCACAGTGGATATGTCTGTGTGTAGTTATGCACACATTTCATTACACGAAGGTGCATATGCTGATGCATATATTTATTAATTTAGCTGCACTCTATCTATATATTGGTGCATATATAAACACAAATGCATGTATTTGGTTTTGTAGGCATATGAACCTGAGTGCATTGTGTATATATGTAGGACAAAATTTTGTTCATTCGAGCTGTGATGCATGGAATGAGGAGTGAAAGAGCATATATCCTCTTCTCCCCACCCCCAAGTCATGCGCACAGAAGCAAAACAGTAGTAGAGCTTGGGGAATAACTGATTTTTCAGTTCAGTGGATGAACCAAAAAAATCCGCCCCGATATTTGTTTTGGGTCAAATAAATAGTGTTCCATCTGAAACTAAACACGTCATTTCATTTTCAAGTATTTTTCACCCTTTTGTGTGTTTTTTAGTAAAGATAGCTGAATTTTGAAACAAAGAGTCAAAATATTTTGTTTAAACTCTTTTTAAACAAAACGTTTCAATTTATCTGGAAGTTCCTTCCCTTTTTCTGTGGCCAAAACGATTCACCATATTGAACCTGATTTGCAAATCATTTCAGTCAACCCCAATGTGCATTGTTCAGTAAATAAACTATTCACCAAACAAATTGCACCCAGCCTTATTCCCCGGCACTCATCAGGTTAACTCTCCTGATGAGGCTCCATGGCCCAGGTGGGCGTGGGCTGCCAATTTGGAGACCTGGTTGAGACAACGAGGTGCTTGCCATTGGTGGCAGATAACAGGTAGTGTACCATGCTGTCCCTTTCTTGAGCAGCAGCAGTGTTTACTACAGAGCGCATTGCTCCCAGACCCCTCACACTCCTTGTCCTGCACAGCATAGTTTAATTTAGTTTAATAATTTCATTAATGCCAGCTTTTCTTGGTGCTGCCAGTGAGCCACTGCCTGCTCAGTGGCTACTTATTAATCTAACAGTCTAACAACACAGCATTCTCCATTGTCTTCCTAAGGCCTTGGGTACTCACCTGTGGCTGCTTCTTTGGTCTTCCCCTCTTCCTCTTTGGTGGCTCAGGCAGAGGGGATGAGTCAGGGTCCATTTGCTTCTCACTGCTGCTCATGGTGCCCCTTGCCACGTCTTCCAGATGATGACCCAATAGGCTATTTTTCCATGGGCAGCTGAAGCAATGGGAATGAAAATCGCACCTTCTTGCTCTCTTTCTCTTCTGTTGCAAGCAGACCCCGTCTCCACCTGCAAGAACTGAAGATAGAATTAGGCACAACAGCATGTCACCATTCCTGCTCATGAGGAGGGTCTGAGGACACAGCTGCCTTCTAGAAGCACAAGAACATTTTGTAAGCAGTTATTTGTTCTCCCCACCTGCTCCTCTGACATGAAAGCCTTGCGCTGCTATTTATTTTTAGGAGGTGAATGTGGCGTTGGTGATAGCTCTTAAGGTAGAAGTTCTCTAATTATTCACGGACTGGGTACCAGATGGACAATGACAGTATGGGGTAAATTCAACCCAGGGATTGTAGAACATTTAGCTCCTTTGGATGACAGGTGCTGTATCAGTGATACTGTTTCCAGTAGGATGGAGTAACCTGTGAAGGATACAGCAAGCATGTACAACCTAGGGCCAGGTCTCTCTCTTGTGGGTTTTCATTTCGACACATTATTTTGTTTGGTTCCTGTATAACTGCTTTAGACAAACTAACATCGAGGGAAAGATGTCAGAAGAGCAGAACTGTTTAATGTCCACTCCATCCCTTCCCATCTGACCCTTCTCTCCCCAAGTCCCATTGAGAGCTCTCTGTGGTTGGAATCCGCTCTGGCCTTAGTGCATGTATGGTTCCAAGTAGTAACTGAGGCCATGAGCTGTTGAGAGCACAGTGGGGACCAGTCATTTTTCTTGTTCATGCTTGTTCTCCTCCAGTCCTGTTGCCAGAGAGAAGAAGGAAGTCAGACTGTGAAGCTCCTCACCCTCTGACCCCAGGGCTGGTGATGGGAGATTGGGTCAATGGACCTTCTCCCTGGGTTCTGTTGTCAGAAGAGGGTGGTGGAAGTGGAGCAAATCCGGCCTTGAGTTGAGGCAGATAGGTGGAGCCCCCAGCAGTTACTTGTGTTGGTTATGTGTCAGACCATCCCTGGTGGAGGGCTGAGCAGCCAGTGCCTGCCTGGTTCTCAGCACAGCTTCCAGTTTGCTGCTCTGCCTGGGAAGGATGCTTACTATGCTTGCTATCTGACCTGCCAGATCTCTGCTCTTTATTTCCTACTGCACTGAATACAGAAAGCATCTAGAAGACTATGCTAAGCCTAGCGAACTGAGCCCTACTGGAGTGACTAAGCAGATGGAGATTGCAGCCTTATCTGAATCCCCTTTCGGCAGGAATTCTGATCACAAAATAAATAGCCAACAATAGTGTGGCCGGGGAATCAAAACCATTCTCTGCTCAGGAATCACAGCATTGAATATGGAAAGACAATGCGTCTCTCTCCCCCCGACAGAAAGCCCTTAGCTCTTTCTCCTCTTCTTGCCAATCTCAAGACTCCTGGTCCATTTAATCTCTCCTCCTGTGGAAGCTCCATCCCCTTCTCAACCAAGGAGCATTGTTATTGCCCTTTTCAGGGCCAATTTCTTTCTCCCTTTCCTGAATGAGGGGTTGGAATGGTGAGTGCTCACCACCAGTGTGCTCCCATGCGTTAGGGTGTAATGTTGCATGGGGTTTCATCTCCAGCATGCCCATCAGGTTGTCTGTCTTTGCACACCACTCAGCCCTCCAGCTGAGAAGTGAATAGTCCAAACCCCTTGGGAGGTAACACCCCATCCTATTCTCAACCCTTGCCTGGGGTTCCACTGCCTTCCCCAGCTCTGGTATCCCACACTGGTCCACCCCATCTTAGTCTTCCTTCAGCCCTTCAGAGGAGCAAGCCAGCCAACTGCTTCTCCCTGCGTCTGAACACTCTCAACTTACTTATAAGGCCCAGGTATCAGCTAGCACTTGATCTGTCTTTAAGTCCTGCTCCTTCTGGCTGACAAGTAGCTATCTAACCACCATGCAGGTGGAGTGAATGTTCCTAAGTGACCTTTAACCTTTTCTCGCCCACGATGGGGTTCCCCTCATCCCAGGGGTAACATTTTTTTAAAGAATGCTCCTAAGTCACTTAGGTGAATCACATTTTCAAAAGTGATGTAGGTACTTAGGAGCCTACATCCCACTGGCTTTCAATGAGATTTAGGCTGCCGAGTGCTTGAATCACTGTAGAAGATTTTACCCGAGGTGACTAAAGTGGAACACAGTATCCCAGGTGATGGTGCACTGTCGATTTATAGAATAGCATAAGATTTTCTGTATTGTTCTAAAATAATGCCTAGAAGTTCCTGTTCTCACCTGAATGGCAGTGTTTGTTAAATTCTACCCAGTTGCACCTTTGGAAACTGGGTTGCACAGGTGTCCCGGAGGGCCTAATTTTTCCCTCAGTTTCTTGTGGCTTTGACACTTCTAGAATAGTGGTGGAGAGTGGGTTGTGGAGGCTGCTTGTGGCGTACGTAGAAGAGAAGATGAGTAAACAGGTAGAATGGACATGGCTATAGCATGTATATGTGAAGTGCATGACAAGATGTTAGTGAAGCTGGCTTGCTGAGCAAAGCAGTGGTGAAGAAACTGTAGTCATGCAGGTAGCCTGTGGACAGTGGGTACCTACTGTATTTGGAGAAATGCCACTCAGACAATGAAAACAATTTACTTTCAATGGACATTTTTGGACAACCTCTAATGCAGAATGAGAGCATTACTGATGGGGAGTGGCTGACATTGCCAATGAAATAATTATAATACCTAGCCTTTATATTGCTCTTTTCATCAGTAGCTCTCAAATGGCTTTACAAAGGAGGTCGGTGTCATTATCTGCATTTCACAGATAATGAAAACTTGGGCAAACTGAGGCCCAGAGCAGCGAAATGATTTGCCCAAGGTCACTAGCAGGCCATTGGCCAGACTGGGAATACAATGTAAAGGATGTATTTGGAGGGGGAGTGTGCAGGGACAGGGGGCAGAATTAAGGTTGCTATGGTACCTTAATTCCGCACTTCCATATTTTTAATTGTTTGGGTTTTATTTTTAAGTTGTGCAGGCTTAACTTAGAATTTTGTTTACAACATTTGTTTATTGTAAACCTACAATGATCTAATAGGATTTTACCTTATGTGTTGATATGATCTTTCAACCTTAATCCTAGCTCAACCAATCTTTTGCATGGGGAATTTTCATCCCCCTCTGCCCCAGCCCACTCTATTTGTATGGATTGATCTGACACACCTCGGCGTTGCAGTCAGAACTTTGAGTCTAATGACGCTTGTAATGAGTGCTGGATCCAACAGAGGTCTTGACAAACCCCTGGAACAGGAGCTCTGGGTCTTGTGCTGGATCTGCCAATGAAACTTACAAATCCCTCCAGCTTTCCTTCTAAGTTCTAGCAAACTTCCCAGGGGATGTGTGCATGCAGGGAAACTATCCCCCTGCTGAGTAGCTTAGGGGTGGACTAACCCCAGACTTTGTGTGTTGGGTGTACATGTTCAAGCTTAGCAGGCATAGTATGCAGAACTCAAGTGTTTTCCTTTGTACAGATTCGGAGAGGCCTAGTCCCCGTACAGGGACACTTTCTAAATCCTACCAGACCGATGGCAAACTTTATAGTGTGTGGCAAGCTTCATAAAGTCTATTAGGCCTGCAGAAAAATGTATGAAGGTCACCTGGAGCTGACAGTGTGTTCATACATTTTTTCCCCAGAGGTGTGTATTTGTTGGGGCATGGGGATTAGAAGAGACTGGCAAGCAAAAGTCCTTGGAGGGGTGGCTTCTAAACACCACAGGAGTCGATGCTAGGCTTGTACAAGACAGCAGCACTTGTAACAATCATAGTACCTAGTTCTTACAGAGCACTTTTCATCAGTAGATCTCTGGGCTTTACAAAGAGGTAACCTCATTCATGTTATATTGGTGGGGAAACTGAGGTACTGATAAGCAAAGTGACTTGCTTAAGGTTACCCAGCAGGCCACTGGTAGTCATGGGACTAGAACCCAGGTGTCCTGAGTCCCAAGACAGCACTCTAGCCATTACACCATGAGATTTATAATTGCCATAAGAGAACTTGTGGACCTGTGATGAATTTTGCAAAGTGCACCAGGCCTGAATGACAAGAATGCCCTCAGTGGAGGCCTGTAATGTATTCACACCTTTCTATTATCTCCAAAACTGAACACCCCACTTTCCAGAAACACTCCTGAGCACTTCATCTCCTTAGGGAAATCTGCAGTTGCTAAGTCAGTTTCGTTTTGTAGAAATACATGCCAAAAATACATTTGTTTTCTGTAAGACCCCGACCTCAGAAACGGTTTGTATGATTGCCAGAAACCTATCCTCCAGCCACCATGCACACCTGCAAAATCTGGAGTACACACAACCTTTTTTAAAGGACTATCGAGGGGGTAGATAATGGAGCCCTTGTTATAGCCTTGACTATAGAACTGTGGCTTTCTCTTCAAAAGGAAACATTCACAGAGCAAAACTCTCATTTCACAAAAAAAAAAGAGCCACAGTCCACTCTCATTTATTATGATGTAAGTCCAGAGTAACTCCACTGACATCAATATGGTCAGGCGTGATTCACACCAGTAGCTGTGAGAGCAGAATTTGACCCAAGCCCTGTATCAAACTGAGGACAGAATACTGAATACACAGGGACTGAGAAGGCAAGGCAATGCAAAGAGAAACCTTTCGTTTCAATGACTGTAGCAAGAATGATCTGCTTTAACCTTATGGGAAATTACTTTCACCTTCCGAGAAACCAAACACTCATGTCTCTACAGATGCTGCTGGCAGATCAAGAGATATCGGGGCTCACTGTCGTTTCCTATGAACTCTTCAGAAAGTGCACTGCGCTGTCTGGGAAGTTAAATGTTATCTCCAGGAGAAGGGGACAGTGGCAACAGTTTGGAAAACATCCCCTCCCTGGAAGATTCCTATATGGAAATGAAGCCATCCTGTCTAGCCTGTCCCTGACATGTCAGAGAAATACACTTGCAGAAACAGTGCAGCACCAAATCACCTGGAAAAATTCCGCCCTTGCGCAATGTTAACGAGGTGAGTTTCCAAGTGTGTATAACCAGCGCCCCAGGAACCTGCAGAGATGAGTACCAGTTCTGCGTTTTCTATGCCCATCACTGACAACAGAACCCTTTGCTTTCAGGAGAGGGAGAG